CTGGAGTGGAGTAGTCTATGTCTAGCGGTAGACTTTTGTTGGTTGATGAAGAAGTTACGGCAGACAGGAGATATTCCTAGTGATGTAGTAACTATTTATTAGAAGTTATTTTTATACACTTGCGAGAGGACTAAGGAATATCGCAGTCTCAATGTCGCCTAAATAGTTACATTAAAAACAATATTACCCTTAGCGGTAAATAATTCCTTCAAATTAACATGGGTACAGTATAACCTATTTAATAAAAAAATAATTATCAAAATTGGTTCATAATTAATGGAATATCGTGTTACATAATATACAAAAAAACACTGTCGAATTGGGAACCTCCTCCTTTTTTGAAGTCGGCTAGTAGTAGCAATGATAACAGTGAAGACATGTTTCATTTGCATTCACTGAATGATACATAATTTGAGTCAAGGTATTTTTTATATTATACTCAAATAAAAATGTTATCAGTACAGTTTAGCACGAAACGTAATGTAGGCGCAATGTCACGGCGTCAATGCCAAGTCTTCCAGCCAAAGCCTTTTGGCTTTGGCTTTGGCTTTTGGCAACCCAAAACAAACTCTTAACGTGTGAATGATTTCAGAGTAGCTCTAGAAAATCGCTCACGGAAACGATGGGACCATAGAAATCAAAATTCTACATTATTTTAATTTAGATTTCTGTGTCTGTGACTTGTTTATTATTTACCGTTACCTTTACAGCCTAAACATAGGCCAACGCTGAACAATAGGCGTCCCCCATAGATTGCCTCATAGGTGGGATATTTGCCATAGTTGCCACGCTTGGGAAGCGGGTTGGAAACCGAAGTTTTATATTTTCAGTCGTTATTAGGAAGACGCTGCTGCCCATCTCCTGATATTATGCCTGATATTATCCCTCTGTCGCCTCTTACGACTCCCACGGGATGATAATATAAGGTAGTGGCTATTCTTACACCGCCGCTATACGGTTATTATTTAGTTACAAATGAAGGTTATTTAATAGAAGATTATTTTATCTACCAACTTTAAATTTTGTACTGTAAATAATATAAAAAATTAAAAAATACTGATTAATCCATCACGGGTTTCCTGCTATATAAGAATAATTTGCTACAAATCACAGTAAGTAAATATTTTTATATAGGATATGGTGACAAATGAGCACACAGTGCACCTGATGGTAAGTGGTTGCTGTGGCCCATAGACATCTACATTTATCCTTGTAATCGAATCAAAATGCAGATGCGTTGTCACCCGTTAGGACTAAGATGGAATGCCTGTTTTCCAGTAAAAAGGGTCTCCGGTTCTCTACACTCACCATACGAAACACAGCAGTGTTAAGCTGCTATTTTACACTGGTATTCTGGGAAAGCGTGGTCTCTTCCAGGTCGAGCCTACCCGTTCGTGCTACAACTATACTACTAATATAGCTGCACCATGGCTCGACCACGGAAAAATCAAACTATTACCCCATATCATCCCGTGGGTGGCGTAAGAGGCGACAAAGGGAAGATAGAAGATTTAGAAGATGTTTTCTTCCTCGCACGACTTCCTTGTGGAATCGATTACCATCAGTGATTTTTCCGGACCGATACGACTTAGGGACCTTCAAGGAAAGAGCGTACTCCTTTTTAAAAGGCCGGCAACGCATCTGCAATTCCCTCCCTGGTGTTGCAGTTGTTCATGGGCGGCGGTAGTCACTTACCATCAGGTGAGCTGCATGCTCGTTTGCCTGCTGTCCTATAAAAAAAAACGGAAACTGAAAAGCGATATTGTCATCAGCATCTCCCTAATAACAACTGAAAATAATGAAAAACTGTGCTTGCTAAATGCTAACCCACCTCTCGAACATGCCAACTATGGCAAAATTACATGACGCAATCTAAGGGGGATTCCTATGTTCATTGGATGCATTATACTTTTGATAGAATGTAATAAATAATTGAACCAAATGGCTTATACAGTATCATCGAGACTCAAAAGTTTAAGCTTGGTGATCAATCGGGTTCTAGATTTGTCCCTTCAGCGGTGACAATATTTTTGCTAAGTGTTGGACTAATGGACAATTTGGGTAATCGATCTGGCTCACAATTGGCCAGGGTGGGGCCTTTAGTGTTTATTTTAGGTAACCCATACAGCTTCTGTATTATCCATACATATTGGTGACGTATGAACTTCCAATATTAATAAGGTTCCCTAACAATATTGATCAGAAACATTCTAAGACCATACATCAAGACATTTAGACCATATATCTTACAACTTTCTAATATTTGCTATATTTAATTTCTAAACCTGTTCACTTTGACTGGTGAACAAGTTTGGAAATTCTATTTTAATGAATCTTTTTATTTTTGAGCGAGATTAGAATGGCTTTCCAGCACCTTAAAAACGGCAAGCCCCCAGGTGAGGATGGAACTACAGCGCAGCTTCTGAAAGCGGCTGCAAAACCGGTACTTGAAGTGCTTCAGAAGCTCTTTAATTCCGTCCTTCATGGTGGGACTACTCCGGAGACGTGGCGCAGACGTGCGGTGGTCTTGTTCTTCAAGAAACGCGACATCACTCTCTTGAAGAACTACAGACCGATTTCCCTTATGAGCCGCGTCTGCGTGCTGTTTTCGAGAGTCATTACGAATCGTCTTGCATGCAGACTCGACGACGGAGAGGCTTTAGTACCATAGACCACATACACACCTTCGGCTAATTGTACAGAAGCCTTTGATTCCGTCGATATTTGGGCGGTGCTACAGTATCGACATAGCCCAACAGATTAGTAAGCTGAAGTGGCAATGAGCCGACCATATACAACCGAAGGGGAAAAAGGTTCTCGAATGGCACCCTCGCACCGTTAGGCGAAGTGTAGGGCGACCCTCCACTAGATGGAGTGACGACCTAGTAAGACATGCAGGAAGTCGATGGATGCGGGTGGCTCAGGACCGTGCTTTGTGGCACTCCTTGGGGGAGGCCTATGTTCAGCAGTGGACTTGTGACGGGCTGTAATGATTATGATGATGATGAATCTTTTTTATTTTAATCTAGCTGTTCCTCGTGACTTCGCCCGCGTGTTATTTGGGGGTTTTAATTTTATTTTGCGCGGAACCTTAATTCGTTATCTAAAATAAAAGTAGCCTAAGTTACTCCTTGTGACATCAGCTATCTGCCAATGAAAATCCCGTCAATATCGGCCCAGCCGTTTCGAAGATTAGCTGGAACAAACAGACAGACAGACATACATACAAAAACTTTAAAAATTGTATTTTTGTTATTAGTACCGTATGTACTTTCATATGCATTTAGTAAAAAGCTGTAATTTTGACATTACAAACAGACACTTCAATTTTATTTATTTGTATAGAAAATCACGTGTGCTCCTACGGTTTTATACAGCGCGGGTAAATTACGCCATGCTTGCGTAACCACCGCGTTTTTTTAACAATGTAAACCTTCTTAGATTTAGACAAGTAAATATATGCATAATAGGGTACTCATCGAGACCGTTCGTTTTATACCTAACACAATATGTGTATTTTCAATCTTCGAGGTGTGAAATCTGTACATCTATACAAATAAATAAAATTGAAGTGTCTGTTTGTAATGTCAAAATTACAGCGTTTTACTAAATGCATATGAAAGTAGAAACGGTACTTATAACAAAAATCTTAACTTTTTAAAATTTTTGTCTGTCTGTCTGTTTGTACCGCCTAATCTGCGAAACGGCTGGACCGATTATGACGGGACTTTCACTGGCAGATAGCTGATGTCATAAGGAGTAACTTTGGCTACTTTTATTTTAGAAAAAATAATTAGGATTCCTCGCAAAAAAAATTAAAACCCTAAATTACACGCGGGCGAAGTCACGAGGAACAGCTAGTCTATACATATAAATCAAATTGAAATGTCAGTCTGTAATAAATATAACTGCCTTTTATTCATATAATATTTAAGTTCAGGGAATAGTTGTATGTTATTAGGACACTAATAACTTTTTCTATTTCTTTTAGAAAGGGTTATTCATTCCGTCTGTCCGGGCTAACCTCCGGAATGGCTCAACGGACTGTGATGAAACTTCACGAACAGATAAATAACAATACCAGAAGCGATCTAAAATATGTTTTTATCCAAAAAACAGGCAAGATTTTTTGGGAAAACAAAAAAGATTTTGATGATCATCTCGTAAACTATTATTAATATTTAACACCAAAAAAAAAATACGTCCTTACGTTTCATCTTCTATCTCTATTTTTGATGCAAAATCGATTTTTAACATGTTTTTACTTCAACATCTTTTTGCAACAAAACTACTATAAATGCTGAAGTATAAAGTGATAAGGCATTTTACGTGAAATTAATAGATCCTTAACAGATATAATAGCAAAAACGGTGATTAAAGTGGTTTTTCGATAATTGAACTTCTTACCCAAAGAACACTACTTAAAATCTGCAGATTTTTACTACTTCTACACGTACGATAGGAATAGTCGCGGGTAAAAGCTAGTTAACCTAGAAAATCCGCTAAATCGAAATTACTGCTGCGACATAGTTATAATTCGCAACTTTTCCGGCTTTTTAAGGTCTTAACTGCAGATTAAAATTACGAGCGACCTCAAAGAAATATTATTGTTCAAAGTAATCCACTTCGCATTATATGCCAACCCTGATGACACTGTATAAGAGATGTAACGGTTCGGCCAGTCGTTTCAGTTGCTAGAATCTTTCAGCGGAAAAAGCCGTTTCAATAACAACGATATTTTGTTCTTTATTTAATTTTAAAAAATATTTTTTTTACAAAGTTGCATTAATGGTAAAGCTATAAAATCAAAACCGATAGTGTTTTCATTTACATTTTTATGTGTAACTATTTTCTAGTATACTTTAGTGATAATTAAAAAAGATATTTATGAATGTTGTGTGAAGTCGTAAATTACTTTGTGGGGAAAGTCGCTGGAAGACGGCAAGAAAAACATCGGAGGAAACAAATAAATTAATTAGATTTAAAAAAAAGTAAACAAAATGGATGGAAATTGGACATTATTCCCACACATAGGTTTACGTTCTCCTAATTTAACAAACACCACCGTGACTCTGCAGGAAAATTTCGAAATAGATCTTGAAGACACAAACTGGATATTAACTTCTTCGTTCATTATTTTTACAATGCAGACGGGTAAGTAATAATATTTTCATGAAATTAATCACTTTTTTTTTTAATATTATAAATACTGCAGTAGAAGAGAGAAAATCCACTGCGCCAAGTCATTGCGTGGATATCGTACCCGACAGAGGGAATATGTAACTTAATGATGAATATGAACTTATGAACAATAACAGCAGTGGACTTTGATAGGCTGTATTGACTGAATGAAGAAAAAATGTTTTTCGAAGGTCAAAACATATTTATTTTTAATTGCTTTACATTATGAAATCCCCATCATCATTATCCTCCAGAGGCGTTAGATGCTTGCTTCCTTTTATAAAACTTTATTCGGTTAGTACTGCGTTGTTGTAACAATTTTATATTAAATATCTACCTTATTAATATATCTTCTATATTTTATTAATGTCTCTAATTTATAAATAAATATAGGTATATTTTTGAATTTTTAAAACCAGATATGTTACTCTGGAAAGGAGTTGTTTGTTTAAACTATAAAATGATCCAGCCTAAATTTCAGTGTAGGTATTTTTATGGAAGTAAAAGAATATCTCCTTGCTCTTTCTTCTTCATCGTCATCAGCCAGTAACATTTCACTGCTGGAAATAGGCCTTTCCTATTATAAGTTAGGATTTGTCATAATCGACAGGCCTAGCAGCATTGATATACAATCGCACTACTGGAACCAGATTTTTTGCATTTTGACGCTGCTACCTGTCTGTGAATCTGTATATTATAGGTACATCTGTTTAAAATTATATAAATAAAATTAATACTATTAATAGAAGTTAATAGGAAATTTTCAATGAAATGCAGGACTTATGACCAGAGAACATAAAAAAGATCTTGTTTTTAAGGTAAGAGCTCTACTTTTTGAGACTTCTGACGCGCTACAATGATAATGTCCTCTTACAAATTATTTAAATATTTAACACTATTAATAGAAGTGAATAGGAAATTTTCAATAAAATGCAGGTGGCTTAGGACCAGAGAACATAAAAAAGATCTTATTTTCAACCTCTACGTTTGGAGACTTCTGACGCGCTATTGTTGCGATAATGTCCTCTTACAAATTATTTAAATATGAATTAATCTAATAGACATTGTATAAACCACCCTAAAACGAAAACCCGCAATGTTGCTTTGAAGTTTATATTCGTTTTCATTCGAACTCTAGTCTTCTTTTAAATATTAAGTAGGAATGGCCACGGAACAAATACACTTGTCTTGGTACAAGCTGTTGTTACTTTTTGTCAGGTTGTATTATTCCGATCCTGTGACGATCTTACTCATATTTCGACCGTAACGCATAGGGCTTACATCGAACAAATGAGGTTTAAACAATTATTTTTAATAAAAATTACCTAGCCAAAAAGGTACGATATCATGTTTTTCAAACTATTTCAATTAAATTGAAAACGATTTATAAATAAATAAATCGTGAAACGTATCCGTGAACTTTTACGAACAAATGTTTTTTGGTTTTTACGTCGTCTGCCTTGAATCCACAATTAATATATAAAATATTCTTTAACAGATCAAGGAAAATTTTCTTATAAGTATTATTTTCTTCGTCTTTCCTCAATTAAGATAAGGTCGGTTAAGAACAGCAAAGCAGTCGTCTTATTTATTGATGGGACCTAAAACATCCTCACTGTCTATAAAATAATGTGTTTTACTAGACACCTAACTAGGTATGGAAAAGCTCGTTCAATACATGGTAGAGCCATACTACAACTATATTTATATCATAGTTGTAGCACGAATGGGTCGGATCGACCGAGGAAGGACCACGCTTTCACGGAATACGAGCGTAAAATAGCAGCTTAACTTAATGCTGCTGTGTTTCGTATGATGAGCGTAGAGAACCCTTAGAGTGTAGAAGACCCTTTTTAGTGGAAAAGGGACTTTCCATCTTAGTCTTCAAGACTGACAGATGTGTATCTGCATTTTGATTAGCGAACGAGGATAGATGTATGTAGATGTCGCTACCAAGCTATTTCTAATTTGTTGTATTGTTAATTGTGAAACATACGAACCAGTGGTAATCAAACAAAAGAGTGACTTTCAATAAGTATTATTTTAATCTATATTGAATAAAAAAAGTTTCTGTTTCTGTTTCTGTTTATAGGCCACAGCAACCACTTACCATCAGGTGGACTGCTTTTTAGACAAACTTTGTTTAATAAAGTTTTTGAACTTTGATAAGGTCAAATTTTGTATAATTTCTGAGGTTTTGTTGTAAAAGCGGACATCGCCCCAGCAATAAATTACCTACTAAATCGGTGGAATCGAGCAAATGAGTACTACTAGCTTGTGTGTTTCACTTATTTTTGTAAAACTACTTTTATTTTTTTGTACATACATTACATTTTCATAAATATATGGAGAATCAAAAGTTAACATATTAATTTCCTTAAACTTTTGTCTTTTTTTTATGTTACCCCCACACTAGGATTTTCTCCTGTGTCGCGGAGGCACTTTACAAACATAAATTGCACGAAGACTAACATCCAGACCCAGTGCCAGTGCGGGATTCGAACCCGCGGCCCCCAGCGCAACAACTCATTGCTAAGCCACTGCGCCACGGAGCCGTTCTGAGCGACTCTTTAGGTTTTAAATCATAGATTGCTCTTATGGCCCTCTCCTGTATAACAAATATACATAATTTCAGTGTCCGTGTCCCGATATCGAAATACCATTCGACATTATGCTACCATATGACAATAGCAAGTAAACTAGTCTAGCTGTTTCAACACTGATAGATTTCTAATATGTTTACAGCATATGCTGTAGAAATAAGTCTGCTTGCTAGTTTTGATATAATATGGGGGCCCACTGTAGCTTCGTGTTTATTGTGATTAGAAGAAAAATGAAGGTATCGACAAGAGTCAGCTCTTCCCCCATTTAAAATTACATTGATATATAAATGTTTGACGTTTAAAGTTATGAATTGCATACATTTAGTGTCAAATTATTACGTTTTTAATTTCGTTGCCATATTTGCCACGCTTGTCAAGCGGGTTTGCAACTGCAACTTATTACTTTTAGTCGTTATTAGGAAGACTGCTGGGCACTGTTGTTGTTTCTGGAATTCATCGCAGTGAGCTCATTTTATTTACTTTCATTTTTTAAATTTTGATTTGCTCACAATGTTTTACTTCACCATCGACTACGTGGTAAATTTGATTTTAAAAGTGCTATTAAAATGTTGTAGGCTTCGATGGGAATCGTTTATTGTCATGTGGATGCTATGCGGACACATATCTCCTGAGCTATAACAGCTCTCCTTCCGCCATTCATCTATACAACACTATACTCTTGATTATTGAAAACCTGTCATTATACATTTATTTTGATTTTTTTTTTGTTGCAGGTTTCGGTATGTTGGAGTCGGGATGTGTATCAATTAAAAACGAAGCTAACATCATGATGAAGAATTTGATAGACATTTCCCTTGGCGGTAATGGATATTTCATAATAATAATGTCCTGCAGACCGAAATTCAGTCACGGCGGTCAGCCTCAACGGGGACTAGCCACTGCGCAGGACAGGATTATAGTGCCCGAGTGTATACACAAGCACAGGTGCACTATTCTGTCACTCAGAATGTCCGATGGGAGAGAGATCAGGACGGCTTTAACAGAAGCGGTGTATGAAGTTCAAATTTCGTATCAAGTGCTTAGTGTTCGATAAAATGTGACCCTCACATTTGTAGTCTCTAAAACATGTGCCCATTTATTCATTATTTTTGGCATGGGTGTTATTTTAACTTTTATTCCAATAAAAAAGGTTTACTATCGCCGGCGCCAACCATTGTTTCCAATAGTTTTGAAAATGTAAATTAATCAGGAATTTAGATAAAAACATTTAGTTTTAAGAACATTATTAATACAGCAATTTAAATTTGAAAATGTTAATCATAACCACTGCAAGCTATCGTAAGTCACTGAACATAGGCATCCTCATAAATTGCCTCATATAGGATATATATGCCGATATGCCTTAGTAGCCATGCTTAGTAAATGGGTTAGCAACCACAGTTTTATTCCTTTTTGAGTAGTTATCAGGAAGATGCTACTGCCCATCTTCCGTTTCATTTCCCTCTCTCGCCTCTTGCGTCATCCACGAGATCATATGAGGTGTGGATTCTTTTGCGCTGACACTATAAGGTGACACCACTGTAAAGTTTTACAACACAAAAATTATTCTGTTTCTGTTTCTGTTCATGGAACGGAGCACTAACTTGCACTTGCACTTTCCTTCGCAAGCGATTGGCTTTTTTAAGTAATGGAAGCAAGCATTCCATTATGGAAATATATTAGGTAGAATGATAGAGATACACATATTACCTGATCAGACATTTAATATAGGTGGCTGTGGATCATGCTTCGTGGTATTCCTTGGGGGAAGTCTATTTTCATTTGAGACTCCAAGAGTGGGCTTGTGAAGGGTTGTAATGCTGATGATGAATATAACAGAATAAGACAGTTCATTTACTAAGATTTTAGTAAACATTTAATAATCACAGAGAACACACGTTTTTTTAAACTTTTGAAGACTATTTTAAATCTAATACCACGTTCCTTGCCTTGAAATTGAACATCGCATCTCTGACGCCGAATTTTAGTCTATTAATCGTTGTCCAGGTCTGACGTATTGGATTTTTGGTTACGGCCTGTCCTTTGGCCAAGGCCCGGGGTCGAATCCATTCATTGGCGTGGGTGACTTCCTTCTAGACCCACCAGTTGGAGACCCTCTCATGGGACCCGCGTTTGCCTCCTTCCTCTTCCAACTATCTTTTGCTACCACTGCCACAACCATTGTAAGTGGCGCTATGGCTGAAAGGTAATTATTACGGCTAAGGTATGAATGTACATATTATCTGTACTGTGAGTAATTCTTGTATTATATATTTTTTACGCGGTAGAGCCATGCTGCAGCCATATTAAATATATAGTTGTAGCTCGAATGGCCTAAAATTGCAGCCTAATGCGGCTCTGTTTCGTATGGTGAGTGTAGAGAACCAGAGACCCTTTCCGAAAGAGGCATTTCATCTTGGTCCTCACGGGTGACAACGCATCTGCATTTTGATTCGCAAACGAGGATAGATGTAGATGTCTATCGGCCACAGCAACCACTTACCATCAGGTGGACTGAGTGTGCTCGTTTGTCACCCTATCCTCTAAAAAAAAGAGTTCGTCTCATAGTAAGGATCTAAAAGTCCATGGACAACTATAGCGAACTTCAAACAAAGACGGCTACTGATACTAAACTAAGTATAAAATTAAAAGACATTATTTTTAGATCATGTTAAAACATTTTTTGAATAAAACTGAAGTGTCAAACGTATAAGGTAACTTATAGTTCACTTGGTGGTAAGTGGCTAATGGCTACTGCAGTCCATGGATACCTGCAGTCAATTCAAACAAAGAAGTCTACAGATGCGTTGTCACCTCTGAGGACTGAGATGGAATGCCTCACATCCTGGCTACTACTACTGGCTTTCTATACTCTTCTGACCGGAAAACAGCAGTACGAGCACTGATTTTGACGGCAGAAATAGGTAAGAAAGAGGTACATTCCCAGACGGACTACTCAGCAGTAAAGGAGTCCTAAAGTTACAGCCTATATACGTCACACTGCTGGGCACAGGCCTCCTCTCATTTCTGAGAGTGTTTTAGGGCAAGGAAGTGTCCGCCGCGCTGCCCCATGCGTGTAGGCGAACTTCACATGTCTTCGAAATAATTTTTTTCTTATTTCTCAGACATGCAGGTTTTCTCACGATGTTTTCCTTCAACACCGAGCACGTGGTAAATCAGCACTTGAAATTGCAATTAACAACTTCATTGGCGCCGGCGGGGCTCGAACCCAGGTTGCTCGCGTACTGTGAAATTTGCAGCGAGCGCTAACCATCTGAGCTACCCCGAGCCGTGATAGCTCAGATGATAGATGGTTAGGTTAGCGTGGTTAGGAAGTCCTACCACATAGTAAAACTTATCATTACCGTTACCGTTACAGCCTATTAAAGTCCACTGCTGATAATAGCCCTCCCCCATAGGTTGCCTCATAGGGGGGATATTTGCCATAATTACCACACTTGACAAGCGCGTTGGCAATACCAGTTTATTTTTTATTTTTAGTCGTTATTAGGAAGACGGTGTTGTCCATCTCCTGATTTGTTTCCCTTTGTCGCCTCTGACGACACCCACGGTATGATATGGGGTAGTGGATGTTCTTATACCGCCACTACACAGCAATAGTAATTTTTTAACACATATTCGTTGTCTTTAGTTACGTCGTTGTCTCTGAAAACACAGGTGCAATTTCAAAGCATACTGCGTGTTCTCCTTTCTAAACACAATCGTGTACTGCGTGCCGGCTGGCTGGGTGTGGGGCGAACACGGCTTTCTGAACAAGCTGGGCGCCGTGGACATCGCCGGTTCGGGTCCTGTCCATCTAATTGGTAAGATTATAGGTTCATAACGTTACTCTAATGGCGATTCCCTTTGAATAATAACGTAAGAAATAAATATTAGCCTATAAACTTTGCCCTATTACAAAATATTCTCTTAATTTAGCAAAACAAATGCTAACCTACATAGAGACTACCGACTTTTATTTGGCGAGAACCTGACATACCCCTCTCGCTTCTTTCACCTCCATTTATCTACTCACACTACGATCGACAAATAAGCGTAGTTCTAATTTGGCCCATCTTCAATATGCCAATCGCCGGTTCGGTTTTTTTTATAGGATAGGGTGACAAACGAGCACACAGTCCACCTGATGGTAATGGTTGTTGTGGCCCATAGATATCTACATCTATCCTCGTTTGCGAATCAAAATGCAGATGCGTTGTTATCCGTGAGGACTAAGATGGAAAGCCTCTTTTCCAGTAAAAAGGGTCTTCGGTTCTCTACACTCACCATACGAAACACAGCAGTGTTAAGCAGCTATTTTACGCTGGTAGTCTGTGAGAGCGTGGTCCTTCCCCGGTCGAGCCGACCCATTCGTGCTACAACTATACTACTAATATAGCCGCAGCATGGCTCTACCACTCTGGGGCTCCCTAACCGACTCTGCTACTCACATTTGCAGCTTTGTCTATGTACTCAGACTTTATCCAGGCTAAGAGATAAAATAATGATTTATTTTCCAAAAGCAATTATTTGCTTCCGCTGGAATCTGAAAAGGCACTTACGATCACCACAAGCTTTCCTACTGATAATAATATTAAAGTTATGTCATTATTTTTATATTGTTTATAGTATAAGGGTGACAAACGAGGACAGTCTACCTACTTTAAGGTAAGTAGATGCTGTGACCCATTGGCATCTACATCTGTCTTTGATTAGGAATCAATATGCAGAGGCATTTTCACCCGTGAGGACTAAGATGGTATGCCTCGTTTCCAGTAAAAAGGGTCTACTATGGTGAGTGTAGAGAACCGGAGGGTTCTTTACACTCACCATACGAAACACAGCAGAAATAACCTGCTATTTTACGCTGGCATTCTGTGGGAGCGTGGTCCCCGGTCGAGCCGACCCATTCGAACTACAACTATTGTTAGCTACAGCGTGACTCTACCACGTTGAATATAGCTGCAACGTGGCTCTGCCACGTTGATATTTTATCTATTATAATCTAATAATTTAAGGAGGATCATCAGCTTTTGCGTCAGCGCTGATGCTAGGACCTCGGTTGGGTCGATATGCACATGGTACTGCGCCGCTGCCCTTGGGGAATCCTGTCAACGCGGTCATGGGAACATTTGTCCTCTGGTGGGGATGGCTGGCCTTTAACTCTGGAAGTACTTATGGAGTAAGTCCAACTTGATTAAATCCAAAATGAAAGCTATAGGTTTCTTGTATCAACGTGGTCATTTTTGAATTTGTCATTAAAAATGACCACGTTGATGCAAAAGAGTCGAAGTCAAAAACGTCGAAAAAGGGTGATAAACGAGCACATAGTCCACTTAATGATAAGTGAATGCTGTGATCCTTAAACACCTAGATCTATTCTTCATTAAGAATCAAAATGTAGATGCGTTGCCACCCCTGAGATAAAAGATAGAATGCCTCGTTACCTGATAAAAGCATATCCGGGTATTGAATAAAAAAGTTTCTGTTTCTGTTTCTGTTTCCGGATCTCTACACTCACCATACGAAACCCAGAAGTCTTAAACTGCTATTTCTTCTTGCTTGCTATTACAAGCCATCCCACTCATAACAACCGTAATACAGCCGCAACATGGCTCTACTATGCACAATTTTTTGGTATTATTAATCATTTTTAGGGTTCCGTACCTCAAAAGGAAAAAAACTGAACCCTTATATGATCACTTTGTTGTCCGTCTGTCTGTCTGTCAAGACCCTTTTTCTCAGGAACGCGTGGTGGTATCAAGCTGAAATTCATATCAAATACTGAAGTTTATTGTCCCTTGGGGCTGTGAAGAAATCAAACTTCTAAGCCAACGCAATCAAAAGATACAGCCGTTTATGCCGCAAATTTTCGACATTCGCAAGGAAATCAAAACATACAGGGTACTTCCCGTGAACTCAGAATCTTAACATTTGGTACGAAGCAACGTATTATAGCACAGATAAAGGAAAAATTGCGAAAAGCATAAATTTTTAGTTACATCATATAATAAAAATATTTTTAATAATTTTATACTTACTTATATACCTCCGGATTTGTTCAGAACCCTCGGTGCGCGAGTCCGACTCGCACTTGGCCGGTTTATTAATATTTTTTCTAATTTTGAAAGCTGCGCTGTGGAGTAAAAATATATTATTATATTCATATAAAATACTGTATGATGACCCTATGGCATGACCATCCGCATGCCAAGCGTGACAATTGAGGCAAACCCTCTCTAACACGGGAGAGATCGATATCCGGTCTGCTGATAAAGAAAAGAAGAAAATACTGTTCAGGCTAATACGAGTAACAGGGAGTGGCGTTAAAAGTGTCGAACGTTTGCCATTTAGTCATAGATTTAGGGTAGTATATTCTAAGTCTATGGTATTTATTACATACTAGCGAAGTCGTCCGGGTTTTAATTTTGTTGCGCGGAACCCTAATTATTTTTCGAAAATATAAGTAGCCTAAGTTACTCCTTATAACATGAGCTATCTACCAGTGAAAGTTTCGTCAACATCGGTATAGCCGTTTCGGAGATTAGCCGGAACAAACAGACAGACAGACAAAAATTATAAAAATTGTGTTTCTGTTATAGGAACCGTATATACTTTTATATGCAATTAGTAAAGAGATGTAATTTTGACATTACAAACCGACACTTCAATTTTATTTATTTGTATAGATTACCATTATCACAATTACTGAAGGAGGGTTAGTCCAACAGTGTAATTTACGTTTATTTGCCTATAATGTATTCATCATCATCATCATCATTACAGTCCTTCATAAGTCCACTGCTGAACATAGGGCTCCCCAAAGGAATGCCATAAAGCACGGTCCTGAGCCACTTGCATCCAACGACTTCCTGCATGTCTTACCAGATCGTCACTCCATCTAGTGGGGGGACACCCTACACTTCGTCTACCGGTACGAGGTTACCACTCGAGAACCTGTTTTCCCCATAGATTGTCGGTTCTTCTTGCTATATGGCCGGCCCATTGCCACTTCAGCTTACTAATCCGTCGGGCTCTGTCAGTTACTCTGGTTCTACTGCGGATATCCTCATTTCTAAGTTTATCACGCAGAGAAACTCAGAGCATAGCCCTCTCCATAGCTCTCTGAGCAACCTTAAGCTCAGCCCAGCGAGCGGACTACGTTGTGCGTCCTCATACTGCCAGCAGTGAAGGACCACGTCTCAGATCCATAAGTCGTCACTGGCAACACGGACTGGTTGTACAATCCCGTTTTCAGGTTTTGAGGTATACCTGACGAGAATATGTGTGGTAGTTTCCCGAACGCGGCCCAGCCGAGTTGAATCCGCCGATTGACCTCTCGGTCGAAGTTGGACTTACCTTTTTTTTTTTTTACATGGGGAAATGCCTACGCATACCCGCCTCGCGGGGGCAAGGACGGGTTATGTCGGACTCGCACCGACTAAAACCCCATGGTGTTCCACCCTCGTCGCATATTGGCAGGGCCACGGGAACGCTTTCGCACACTTCCGCGGCCCCACCTGCGCCGGCCTACCCATGGCGGCCCCTCCTCGGGAGAGGACCACTCCTCCCCCATCTCCTTCTCCGGTAAGGCGCACCAGAACACATGGCGCGCCCTCCTCCTCGGCCTCCAATTTCATATGCGCAACAGACGCCCCCGTGTCCGATGCGCGAAGGCCATGGGGCCAGGAAAAACTAGCACTAAGAAGCACCAGCCTTCCCGACCCCAGCGGCGGATCTGGTCTATGGCTCCGCCGCCAACCAAGATTCGGCTGCGGAGGGTAGGGAGAGCGGCGCCTCGCAATACCGACACTCCTCTCCCCCCGCAGCCCCACCACCACCGCATCATTCAACGGTGCGGCCCCGTCTGAGTCGCGGAGGATAGGGCGAGTGGCGCATCGCCATACCAACACTCCTCTTCCTCCGCGACTCCACCTCGGCTGCAGCGGTAGAGGGTTGCGGACTCCCCTCTCACCACAGCCCCCCGACACACATCCGAAGTGGGCTTCCCAAGCCCACTCGGAGTGGCCACCTCGGGCCGGCCCTACACCTCGGGCCAGCCAAGGGGTTCCTCTTCGTTCACCGTGGTTGACCAAGCCACGGCTACTAAGCCCCCCTGCCACGACAAGGCGGGAACCCGTTCGGGGGGGAAGTTGGACTTACCTAGTTGAACTATTTTTTTTATAGGATAAGGGTGACAATCGAGCACACAGTCCACCTGATGGTAAATGGTTGCTGCGGCCCATAGACATCTACATCTATCCTCTATTACAAATCAAAATGTAGATGCGTTGTCACCCGTGAGGACTAAGATGGTATGCCTCATTTCCAGTAAAAAGGGCTTCCGGCCACCTGCACTCACCAAGCGAAACGCAGAGGTAAACCTCTACTTCACGCTGGTTTTCTGTGAGGTCGTGGTACCACCCCGGTTCGAGTCGGCCTATCCGTGCGACAGCAAAAGCTACCGCGTGGCTCTACCACTGTAAATTTATCCCAGGTAAACATACTCGTCAACAACTTCGAGCTTAGTGCTCTCAACAACTACCGGAATACATAGGTGTGACATGGATATTAAACATGGTCTTTGTTTTGTCTATGTTCATCTTAAGGCCTGTCCGTTGGGAGACACTATTGAGGTCATTGAGCATAGTGCTTAGGTCCTCCAGCGATTCCGTCATAAGGACTATATCGTCACCAAATCGAAGGTGAGTGATGTACTCACCATTGATGTTAATACCGTATCCTTTCCAGTCCAGTAGCTTGAAAACGTCTTCCGATGCAGCGGTGAAGAGTTACGGGGATATAACGTCACCCTATCTTACACCTCCCTGCAGTTGGATAGGTTTCGTACTCTCGTGATTCTGTACTTGGATAGCCATCGTAGCCCTACACACTTTAGACTTCGATATACCGACAGTCAACTTGGCACCGCTGAAGGAAGTGTAGCACCGCCCAAATTTCGACAGAATCAAAGGCTTTCTCATAGTCCACATACACAAGGCAAAGTGGTAAATTGTACTCTTCTGTCTTCTGTACAATTTGCCGAAGGGTGTGTATGTGGTCCATGGTAGGTACTAAAGCCTTTTCGGAAACCGCCTTGTTCGGGAGGCTGGATGTCGTTGAGTCTGCGTGCGAGATGATTCGTAATAACTCTCGAAAACATCATGTAGACGCGGCTCAGAAAGGAAATCGGTCTATAGTTCTTCAAGAGAGCGTTGTCGCCTTTCTTGAGGAACAAGACCACCGCACTTCTGCTCCACGCCTCCGGAATAGTGCCACCATGGAGGACGGAATTAAAGAGCTTCTGAAAGACTTCAAGTACCGGTTTTCCACCCGCTTTCAGAAGCTCTGCTGTAATTCCATCTTCACCTGGGGCTTTGTCGTTTTTAAGGTGCTGGAGAGCCATTCTAATCTCGCTCAGACTAACGTCCGGGATATCTTCGGAATAGTGTCGCATAAGACTCACTCTTAGATCGTTACTCACACTTGCGTATGGCTCCAACGATGACGTGTACAGCTGCCCATAGAACCTCTTATCTCACACAAAATCTCAGGTGTCCCGGAAACGATGCTGCCACACTCGGTCTTCAGCTTTGACAGTTGGCTCTTTCTGGCAGACAGATCTCTGGCTTCTCATGACTTTGGAGCCTTGGTTACGCTCTGCAACTGCATCTTCATTTCCCGTCTAACAGCCATGAGATTAACAGTGTGATCGGAGAGTTTTTGTGTTCTGCTGCGGCTGGTCTTGCAGAACTTAGCTCCGACCACATGGATAGTTTCCACGAGCTTATCATTCATATCGTCCACTTTATTGCAGTCTTCTAGGCACTGAAAACGGTTTTGTAACTCGAAGTAAAAGGTTTCAGGACTCTGGACTAGAGCACGAGGGGGACGGAGCGTTGACTTCATTAGACGAGACCTCTTCAACTTAACGTTTAGGTTCAGTGTGCTTCTAACCATTCGGTGATCGCTACCAGTTTTCGCCTTCACTATCACTGAGACATCACTGTACATTTGTCGTCTGGTCGACATAATGAAGTCAATCTCATTTTTTGTCCAACCGTCGGGGCTCGAACATGTCCACTTCCTGTGGGGTCGTTTCTGAACTTCTGAACTGCTTCCAGCTTCTGGCCCCTTGGGTTCCGTTGCCCTATTCCAAGTTTCCCTACCTTCAGCTCACCATTCTCTCTTGTGCCTAGTTTTGCATTGAAGTCTCCCATTAACATCGTATAGTGGGTTTTGGAGGAATGCATGGCTCTAGATATATCCTCATACATTTTCTCCACCTCCTCATCGGGATGTGCCGAGGTTGGTGCGTAAACCTGTATGACCTTCAACGAATACCGTTTCGTGATTCTGAGTATAAGTTACGCAACTCTCGTCGACACACTCACAATCTTTACAACTTTGTTAACGAGATACTTGTGGACGATAAATCCGACACCTCCTTAGGACAGATGGGCGCCCTCCAGGTGATAGAAACAGTTGCCGGATTCGAGGATTACCAAGTCCTCCCCCTCTCTTCGGGCCTCGGATAATCCTATAATATGCCAGCGTAACTTGTCTATGTCTTCTTCCAGCTCCACGATCTTCTCGTCAGTTATCAGGGTACGTGCGGTGTATGTTGTCAGGTCGAGTCGTCTTAGGTGACAACCGAATCTCCACCGGAGATTCTTAGCATCCCTTGCCCCGCCGTTACCATGGTCACCACCGTAGCTAGGAATAGCGGGGCCGCCGGGGACTGGGGGCCGTCTCTTCGTAACTTTAATCATGGGGGGGGGGGGGGGGGTGTATTGCCACAGTTTCCACGCTTGGCAACCGCAGTTTTTTTATTGTAATATTGTTGTTATCAGAAAGATGCTGCTGCCCATCTCCTCCCTGTTTCCCACTGTCGCCTCTTACGAAACCTACGGGAAGATATGGGGTAGTGGATATTCTTAATCGCCACTACACGGCAATAATGTATTATATATCTATAATTAGATTTTGCAAAGATTACGAGTACGAGTAGATGATACGTATAAAATAAAATAAAAATTATACGTCCATGCTTTGCCCTTTGTCATTTTGCACGAGTAGCTATCGTGAATATTTCGTGAAATTCTTTGGTCTGCTATGAATGAAAACAGTACTGTTGCTACTCAGAGCTGTCAAATGCAACTTTACAGTCTTACGTATTTTTAATTGACTAAAAAAGTATCACCGAATTACATATAGGTAAGTAATTCTTTTCGCCCGCCTGTATATTTATAACATCCTAATATTCTTATTTTTACTTAATGTACTCTATGCCTACTATTACGTTTGCCTAATCTTTACAAATTTTCATTTATTTTCTCATTTAGTAGCGAATACTTTACGAAAACAATTACGCTCTGGTGTGCGTTGGAAATTGTGGTTATTACGTGAAATCCATCATGAAAATGACGACGTTTACGAACAATCAGCTGTGCATTAGTCAACATGTATATAGCACAATCTAAATACTAATTGGTTAGTTGAGTCGTTCCATTATGCATCCAACTCAATTTAAGCGAAATTACCTTCTTTTTATTATACCAACCTTGCCAACGTTATGTTACAAATCCTTTTAACTTGCATTTAAATTTATTATCTGTAATTGTAAGCGGAATATTTCAGATCAATGTCGTCTCTTTGTTTTAACGAATTGATAATTTTTGAATTAATAATTAGTATTTACGATAATTATGCAAAATTAAGCATTTAAATTCTGATGGGCTTTCATATCGTACTATTATCTCTCTTAACTTGGTTACATTGTATGAAATATAATTAATTTCCTGTTTTCATATTAGCATTAATTGGCTTTCTTCAAGCTTGTACTAGTGTTATTATAAATGATAATGGAAAACATGTGAAGATATAATATTACAATTGAAGTTTAGGCTTATATCCTCAGTTTGGATATACGAATAAAATGTCGCCATGGTCGACACCGACTGGTCGACATCATTATTGAAATAGAACTGTAATTAAATTCGCAGTATAGTTTATAAAATTTGTATTAATACAGGTTAGTGGTGCTAAGTGGCAGTATGCGGCACGAGCAGCGGTCATGACTATGATGGGATCCTTCGGAGGTGGTTGCTTTGGAATACTGTTAGTACACTTGTCTATGTTATCATCATTACCACTCATCTATAGTCTACTGTGTAATATAGTTGATTTAAAATTATTTATTGACTCTTTAATAACATAAAATATATTTTTATTGAGACGCATCTCCCAAACAATTCCCATTCCATTTTCATGGGTGACTTTAACACCTGCCTTATTCGAAATGATGCTAGATCGAACAAGCTTAAACTCATATGTGCATTAAGCAATATCAAAATTCTTGACCTTGAATCCACCTATCACGTCAATAATACTCACTCTTTACTGGATGTGATCCTTACTTACAATCCTGATCGTATATCTCTACATGGTCAACTTGTGGCTCCTGGATTTTCACATCACGATCTATTTTTCGCATCATATGCTCTTAAATTAACTAAGTCAACTCCCAAAATTGTATTTCAGCGTAACCTTGTCCGTATGAATCGCCAGCTGTTAAATTATGAGCTATGCAATGCTAATTGGTCAGATTTTTATAACACTAATCATATTGACAATAAACTGGAGTTATTCAATAACATTATAATGACATCTTATGACAAAGTAGCGCCTTTAAGACAGTAAAAATAAAACGGGCACCAGCACCCTGTTAACGCCATATATTCGATCTCTTATGGCACGTAGAGAACGCCTAAAAAGAAAACATAAATGCTTACCCAGTGATGAGAACTGGGAAAGATTTAAAAAGGCACGGAATCGCTGCAACCAGGTGATACGAAATGCCAAACGCCGATACATTCACAATACTATTCAGACTTGCTCAACCCAGAATATATGGAAGTTCTTGCGCAACCTGGGCTTTGGTAAAAGTAAACAGAATGTTAGTCACTCCCTTAACTTATCAGCGCTGAATAAACAATTTTGCTCTTTGCCAGTTACATTGGACTCAACAGTCAAAAGCGATACCATTAAAGATATTACTTTTTTCCTTATACCACGTTGGACTCCTTTCTGTTTCGGACCAGTGACTGATGATGAAGTAAAAAAAAATGTATCCGTTATATCCAGCATAGCTGTCGGCCCAGATGGTATTGGACGTGATATGGTTTTGCCGATTTTGGACCAAATAATTTCCCATATCACTCATCTAATAAAGGACATTGCTCTGCGCCCATAAATTGTTCGCCCTGGAACCAAGAGCATCGGAAAATTATGTTTTGTTGTCGATCATTAGTAAATTCTTATTTGATCTTATTTTTATAGCGGACTAGCTGCATAATAGATATATTTCAAAAAAGTATCAGATTTTGAGGTTTTAAAACATTTAGCTATTTTAGTACCTATCTAGTAATTAGGTATGCAGTTTTTGTTCTAAAGCCTAAGTGTATGTAAGTGCAATGTATAAATGCATAGAATAGTTAACAAACCTGCTTTCTTAGCATTGGTTTTGAAATAAGAGATAATGTTTGTACATATATAATGGCTGTTAGCATTTAGATGTTGTCATTAGCATATACGGTACGGTAAGATACCTAGTACCTAAATGTATAAGGATTTAGGCTGGTTGCAGTCACACCACTAGACATGCCGTCGTACAGCGAGCGTATCAACCACGTTTTCAACCAAGTTTCAACAGCGTGAATATTATCGACTACTATTTAGTGCATTTGCAAGCGTGTGCGTCTGGACGGCGCTGTTCAAATGTGTGAATATGAAACCAGCCTTACCGACTTAGTACCTAATTGGTAGTATAAGTTACTTTTACACCTACATTAACTTATTATGTTTGAATTAGAAATAAAACACAGATTAATTTCATGTTTATTGTTCATCTTCTAAATTGGAAATTAGAATATTGTCTAAAAACTGTGCAGGGATTATTTTGATGTCTCGTAAAGCTCAAGTACCAAATAATGGTCATAACATGGGCGCAGCAACCGATGGTTCTGCGTACAATGATGCAATTACATTACAGCAATATTGCACGACTACTTCTCTGTTCATCTTTCAACAACATAGAAACACCAGCAGAGCCGCAATTTACACAAGATACACTTTCTATTGCGTATGTGCGTAAGTCCGTTTATGAATGCTAGGTTATTATTGCTCTTTTTAAATAACACATTTATTAAACTGCAGTAACGCTAAGTAATTTTTTTTTTATATTAATTGTAGTAAACTTTAAGTTATCATTTAGTAAGACGTAAAATACACTTTAGGGAATAATATAAATTTCAATAATATTTTTATTGTAACTTCCTTTTGCAATTTTATTCGAAATAAATTCAAAATGTAATTCAGATTAAAAAATAGTTCATTAAAAATTCAAAAATCGAATACAATGGATTGGGCATCCCTAACCATTTTTCGACACCACATGATGTTTGGCGAAGATGGCGGCGATTAATGTCATTAGTCGAGTAGAATACTTTTTAATGTTAATTTTTGCATGCAGCTAGTCCGTGTTACAAAAATATTTGCAACTAATATAATAAAATAGACAATTAATTATCGTGTATTTCCGATCCTTTTATTACACAGGGCGATTTTGGACATTGCCCTTTTTCCTTTGCCTCCAGTACCTTCCCTACCAAGTGGAAAGATGCGTTACTAATACCTATCCCCAAAAATAGCTCTTCTACTAATTTCAACAATTATGGGCCAATATCTATCCTCTCCTTCTTCTCTAAAATTCTTGAAAAGGTTGTTCATTACAAACTCACAAAATTTCTAAACAAAAACAACCTCTTCAATCCTTTTCAGTCTGGTTTCCGACCACTGCACAGTACTTCCACGGCCTTAATTAAAATAACTGATGATATCCGCTTTGCGATGGATAATCGTCAACTTACTCTTCTTGTCCTTCTAGACTTCAGTAACGCGTTTAATTGTGTTGACCACGACATTCTGTTAGCAATTCTGAAATCCCTGAATTTAACATCATCAGTTGTACAATGGTTCAGTTCCTATCTTCGGGGACGCCGGCAACGCATACGTGTTGATGATAAGTTCTCCGACTGGTGTAACATTGTTGTTGGTGTTCCTCAAGGCGGTGTTTTATCTCCGTTGCTTTTTTCTGTGTTTATCAATGCACTTGTTTCCGTAATAAATTTCAGCAAGTATCACCTGTATGCAGATTATGTCCAGCTGTATCAGTATTTTAGTTGAAATGAAAATAAGTAAGTTCTTTTTTCCCTCTGTTGCGGCTCTACCCATAGCTCTCACCACACTACCAAAAGTTAGCTAGCAGAGAATGCCTTTTTAGCATTAAGTTCGCCTTTGTACCAAATGTTTGTTTGTTTGAGTGCAATAAAGAATTTTCTATCTATCTATCTATCTATATTTTCTACGGAAGCCAAAGCATTTTTATGAATTTCAATACAGGAATAGAAAGATAACGTATTTCCATATTCTATAGATTTCACTAGTAACTATAATTTTATACGTGGCAGAACCATGCTACAGCTATATAAATAGTATAGTTGTAGCGAATGCGTTGGTTCGACCGGGGAAAGACCATTCGACCGGGGAAAGACCACGCTCTCACAGAATAACAGCGTAAAATAGCAGCTCAATGCTGCTATGTTTCGTTTGGTGTGTGTAGAGAACCGGAGACCCTTTTTACTGGAAAAGAGGCATTTCATCTTAGTCCTCACGGGTGACAACGCATCTGTATTTTGATTCTCAAACGAGGATAGATGTAGATGTCTATGGGCCACAGCAACCACTTACCAACAGGTGGACTGTGTGCTCGTTTGTTACCCTCCTATAAAATAATTTTGTTAATGTAGTTAATTAAAGAGAATGTTCTACTTCACATTAATGACTGTACCAGTGAACGCAAATAAAACGCGTACGTTCACTGCTGTGAAGGAAAGGTCTGCAGTATTGTATGACATACGATTGCACCAAAGACTTGTTACGCCTAACCTATGTCCCAGAATATAATTATAATAGTAGGCATATGTGTCGTATGGTAACGGGTTAAGGGTGCTTTTCCACCAGAGATGTGCTATGCAGCTATACAGCGAGAATGTGAAAGCTGAAAATACCTAAAGCTAATTAATACAACGATTTTTATGGTTTGTTAGATACACAATGATCAAGAACAAAGGACGAGCGGACGTGATGGAACTCATTAACAGCGTCCTGGGCGCTCTTGTTTCAATCACTGGTGAGTGCTTATAACAGGGGTTTCGAGTTAGAACTTAAATCCCAACAAAACAAAATATCAAAAACAATGAAAAACTCATTACATTTATCAGTTTACCTTGTAGACTCTATACATATTATCTCCGTGTCTGTGTGACATTGTATTCATCTACCTCCAATGTTATTGTGTTACATCCATTGACTTATTATTACTTATACATCAGATACAGGTAGGTTAGAAAGAGATAGTGTCGATAAGCGCAATATAGCGGCATTACAACATGTCCTGGCGCAGTTAATAACTTCAAACCAGTATTTTACGCGGCAGAGTCATGCTGCAGCTATAACAGTAGTATAGTTGTAGCACGAATGGGTCGGCTCGACCGGGGAAAGGACCACGCTCATACAGAATACCAGCGTAAAATGACAGCTTAACGCTGCTGTGTTTCGTATGGTGAGTGTAGAGAACCGGAGACCCTTTTTACTGGAAATGAGGCATTCCATCTTAGTCCTCACGAGTGACAACGCATCTGCATTTTGTTTCTTTATCGAGGATAGATGTAGATGTTTATGGGCCACAGCAACCACTTACCATCAGGTGGACTGTGTGCTCGTTTGTTACCCTTTTCCTACAAAAAAAAATAATTGTAGGAGGCGATGGGTGATGCGTAAGAAATCTTAACTTCGACAGTTAGTGTCAAAAGAGCTAGACGTCTGGTTCCGCTATCCTTCTGCCAAGCGTAACGATTCAAATACTCCTTAGAAGCCCGTCTCCAGCAGTCGACTTTTACAGGCTCATGAAGGAGTATTTGACTATTGTTATCGTAGTTTAAAAAGATATAGCCTACTACATACCATCCCACTCCTGGGCACAGGCCTCCTCTCATTTCTGAGAAGGTTTGAATGCTAGGAAATGTCCGCTGCGTTGCCAAAATGCTTCGATTGGTGGATTTCATGTCTTAGATTTTTTTTTAATTTCTAAGACATGCAGGTTTTCTTACTATTTCCTTCACCGTAGAGCATGTGGTAAATCAACACTTAAAATTGTAAATAACAATTTCATTGGTACTGGCGGGATTCCAACCCGAGTTGCTCGCGTACTAAGATATTTACAGCGAGCCTCCTGAACTACCACGGCTTTATTCGTAGGTCTAGGTCAAAACGACCGGAATAAAATAAACTCTGCCATGAAATAAACAATCTTGTTCCTTTCAGCGGGATGTTTCTTATACCGTGCTTGGGAATCTCTAGTGATCGGTATGATAGGGGCGGCTATATCGTGCGCCAGCTCCATACTCTTCGACAAGATGAGAATTGACGATCCTGTTGGTGCTTCTGCTGTTCACGGAGCTTGCGGATTATGGGGTGAGCATAGGAAATTCTATTTCTATTCGATTCTGCATTATAAATTATTATTTCACTGTTTCAATACTGAAAATTTATTCTTTAAGATCTGGAAACAATTTTTATTTTGCATTATAATATAATGTAGTATAAAAAAATTATTTACCTAATAAATTGCTAAAGCTTATGACATATATATTTTAATAGAATAAGAGTGACAAACGATTTTATACGTGGTAGATCCATGCTGCAGCTATATTAGTAGTATAGTTGTAACACGAATGGGTCGACTCGACCGGGGAAGGACCATGCTCTCATAGAATACCAATGTAAAATGACAGCTTAACACTGCTGTGTTTCGTATGGTGAGTGTAGAGAACCGGAGAACCATTTTACTGGAAAAGAAGCATTCCATTTTAGTCCTCACTGGTGACGACGCATCTGCATTTCGATTCTTTATTGAGGATAGATGTAGATGTCTATGGGTCACAGCAACCACTTACCATCAAGTGGACTGTGTGCTCGTTTGTCATCCTATCCTATAAAAAAAAACGAGCACACAGTCCATTTGATGGTAAGTGATTGCTGTGACCCATAGACATCTACATTTATCCTCTATTAAGGATTACTATTATATGCTACATGCTATTATAGTTTATCGGTAAAATACATTTTAAAAGCTTTGCGGCCGCTTGCGCAACTCGCTGAAAGCGATGTAACATGAATGCAAATTTAGATTTTAGTTATTAAGGACACAATTTAATATTCTGTAGGTACATATCGTATATTGCAATTCATTCCGACGCCTACCGTCAGTTAAAACTCGTCCATCTTTTATACTACATGAAGTAAATTTTGTATGTAAAGTAGTCACTAGCCATGCAGGACTCGTAGTCACAAATTACATTAAGCTACGTTATTACCTTAAATATTATTAAAGTCAGCCTTTATCCAATAGTTTGAATTAAAAGCTATGGTTATGAATAAATATAAGGAAAATAAAAATATTATCTAACACAATCAAAAACAATTTCTATTTGTTTGTTTTGTTTGTAATAAAACTAGTTTTTGAGGATTTGATCGCTTATATTAACTTATTTTATATTCCCGATTTTTAAGTACTTAACAGGACCATGGTCAAGGGGGAGGAGAGAGGAGTGTTTTCGACCTCACAATATCATAGTTAGCCACGGCTACATTCAGAATCAAATTATTAATTTTTGGTCCGATCTACGCAGTATGAACTTATACCTAGTATCTTGAAGTCTTAAAGTTGTATGCTTGGGAACCAGAGTGACCGACATAGCCCAACGGATTAATAAGCTAAAGTGGCTATGGGCCGGCCATATAACTCGAAGAACCGACACTGATGGCGAAAAAATGTTCTCGAGTGACGGCCTCGTACCTGCGGACGAAGTGTAGGGCGTCCTCCCACTAGATGCAGTGACGACCTGGTAAGACATGCAGAAAGTCGATGGATGTAGGTGGCTCAGGACCGTGCTTTGTTGTTTTTGGTTTTTATTGTTTTTTTTTTTTAGTTTGTCCTATGTAAGTGAGACCACATTCACAATCAAGATTGTATACTCCTGCATCTTCCAGAGGGGTATTACACTTTACTGATAGTAAAAACTGTTTAATCTTCTTCAACGGCTTGAAGTATGTTTCAATGGAAGCACGCTTCAAAATGTAGCCAATCTTGTCAGTGACATCCCTGATATATGACAGTACAGCCACATAAGCCACATAAGTCACACAGTCGAGCGTGTCCTACACGCTAGACCGTGGCCGGCTTGACTTCGACGCGGGAGAAAAGACCAATAAAAACACGCGTAATGTGAAAAATCGCGTTAACATAAAATATTCTGTTTTATCATGTCATCAATAATTAACAAGCATTCGATCTCGTTTCCTTTTCCTTTTTTTTAATATTAGCAAACTCTCGGAAGGCCATACCACCAGGATACATAAGCTATACACATTTTGTATTCAATTATGCGATTTGACAGTTATGCTGGCCGACGCAGGCGCGCGCGTGACGGAGATAACTAACAAGGTTAATACTGTTTTAAGAAAACCAGACTGCGTAAAAAATTACTAATTATAATACCCATTGTATCATAACATAAGAACTATATTTTTTGAAAATTTAAGCAAGAATGGTTGCTAACCAACTTTAAATCGTTATACTTAGATCCTAAATCGTCATTCAAAATGAAAAATGACTAGCGAAACCTAAATATGATTTTCAAAAACCTAATTAATGATACCCCACTCTACATAGTAAGTTCGTCGACTTTCATTTTTTTTTCTTTTAGATCTGCAATATAGCGTCTGGTTGTCGCCATATTAAATTTAGATTACAGTCATGTCTTTAGTGACATAGGTACACCCTATCAAAACTAAATAGCGGTGCCTGCATTGCTGTAATCTGGCTTGGCAGCTGTAGAAAGCCAGTATAACAGGTGGTGAGGCATTCCATCTCAGTCCTCAGATGTGACACAACACATCTGTAGCCTTTCTTATTTAAATTGACTGCAGGTATCCACGGACTGCAGTAGCCACTAGCCACTTACCACCAAGTGAACTATAAGTTACGTTATACGTTTGACACTTCAATTTTATTCAAAAAATGTTTTAACATGATCTAAAAATAATGTCTTTTAATTTATTCTTAGTCTTAGATTTGATATAACTCTTATCCGATTTTATTATGGAATCTCTGCAAGGTACTCGTTTAAAAAACGATTTAGTTTAAGCTACATGAATTTTTGATCGAGCTAATTATTGTTTCGGATTTATGTCTTCACTAATTATAGGCTTTATCACTAATTAGAAAATGATTTTGCCTTAGTGCAATAATTATATTTCAGTAAAAAAAAAGTGCTACAACGTTTTACTAGCTTGAGTTATTCTTTTCACTTACAGGTGTTTTAGCTGTTGGACTATTCGCTGATAATCCAATACCAATGGACACGACTAAAGGAAGATCAGGTTTATTCAAAGGTACGATCAACTAATAAACTCAATAAAAATTTATTAGGTTAAAAGAGAATATAAAAAAAAAATTCTTCAAATGTGAATCATACCTGCACTCTGCTAATAAACGGGCGAAGCTCTCACGACCGAGTGATTGCAGAAAATATATCAAGAAATCAGAAACAATGAAACTAAAATTTTAGCTAACTTCAAAAAGAAGGATGTTAACAATTCGACTATTTTTGTATGCATGTTACGCAATATCTTCATCAACAATGAGGACAACATCATCAACAACATAACTTTTTCTGCCATCAAGGCGGCGCCGCTTTGGAAAGAGGTAAAATATTTGACAGATTTCATGGAAGCGAAGTTAGGAAAATAGGAAGTTTAATGTTTCTTTCTGAAAATTTTTCTGAAAGTTTTTTTTTAAATTATTAATTACATTAAAATGAATAAATGTAAAAATTGTGCAACAAAATTAAAGAGCAATCACCATTCTGTATATATAAGTATATAGGTACACTAAACACCGAAAAACGTTTATTTGAAATGCAACTTTTCAGTCATGGTCATACTGTGTAACAAATAAATTCACCTCAGTCTCAACTAGCGACATCTGGTAAGCGGTAAATTCTTAGCCCTTATTGTGACCCGATTTTGATGATTCTTTTTTTTATTGAATGGGTTATGATGCTTCAGGGGTGTAATTTAGAGAATAATCCCTTCTAAAAATAAAAGGGGGGCAAAATAGGGGATGAAATTTTTAATGTAACTAATCAGACGACATTGAGATTGTGAGAACTAAGGAACATTCTTAGTCTACTCAAAAGGGTAAAAAAATTACTTTTAATAAAAAAATAAGCTACTTCAAAAAACTAAGAGCAACAAAATAATTTCTCATTCCGAAGTCGACGTTTTTATTGTTCTTCTATACACTATGTCTTAGCACTGACTGCAGAAGGTGAATTAATTATTTTTAAGTTTGTTGAAGTCGGTTTTTCTTTTTATTAAAAGTTTATTTTTTATTGACTGGTTAGGGTCGGAGAGTAGTCTGCACGTACCTAAAGCGGTGAGAATGGGAAAAAATTCCAAGTGATACAATAGCTAATGTATTTGTCCATTAAATGTACTTGAAGAGGATGTTAATGAAACGTGATAATATGATCAGGGGGCGGCTGGTACCTACTAGGAGTGCAGACGCTGACAGGAGTGTTTCTGATGACATGGGGCACGCTAGTGACGATGCTGCTGCTGTGGCTCATCGACCGGGCGTTGCCCATCCGCATGGACCCCTACGACGAGTTGCTCGGCGCGGACCTCACCGAGCACAGGATACGACATGGACAGGTCATCACTATTGCTTACAAAATTTTTAGGATTTTACATTTACACACCTAATAAATTACACTGATACTGATTATAAATGGATGCACGTGGCTCGGAACCGTGCTTTATGCTATTCCTTGGGGAGGCCTAAGTTCAGCAGAGGACTTGTGAAGGGCTGTAATGATGATGATGATGATAAATAACTTTATACTAGTATATAAATAAGGAGAAAAAGCAAATATTGGACAACCCTGCTTGTCGAAGAAATAAAATAAGGCAAGGTGAATCATGTGAAGTGAGCCAAAATGCACTAGAGCAACGCAGCGGACCAATTGCCTCACGTGTCTGTCAGGATCGAGAGGAGGCTTGTGCCTAACAGTGGCAGCTGCAAGTGCAACTTTACTTACTTGCTTTACTAAAAAAAAATAAGAAAAACAAATGGAAATGTATATGAATGTAAAACGTAGAGTATCAAATATTATATATAAATATGTTTATTTATCCCTATACATTCGGAATACACTTGTACTACGTAAAATAAAATAAATATACATTTTTTTTCTATAATAGATTAATATAATAAGAATTCAATTTATATACAGGGTTATTTTGCAATAACCGGCCAAATTTGCAGAGAACTGTTCAGAATAAGTAATATAAAAAAATGTCAAACATTCTGTCATTTTTTATCTTTTAAATTCAAAATGCGTGGTATTGTATTATTTTACACACATATTTACATACATTCGTAAGAATCGATCGGTACGCAAAAACATTGTGAATTAAGATGCACAAAGAGAAGCGCGCGTACGCGTGGTTGTAGCCCATAAATCAAATTATGTCCTATGGAACTATGGATAATTCACATAGTTCCTTATAGTATTATTTTTAAAAATGTATAACAACGGTGGTCTGATCTGGTGTATGGTTGATAAATATTATAATGTTAAATATTGTTTATCTGTAGGTTGGAGTTTCCCGTGCTGTATCCGCACTTCGCCCATTTCATCGTTCTAACAGCATTGAGGAAGTTGGAGGTATAGGCATGAACACGGGACACAACTTAATTGTTGATAAGCTGTATGAGGTTGGTACTAAAATTACTTCGTTTAAATCATTCCTCACCACATGAAGTTTTATGTGAATTTAAATACCAATTGCCAATCTCCAGTTTGTTTTTCTTATTCATTTCCTTTTTTTTTATAAAACCCACGATCCATATTCGTTTCATTCATTACAGCCTATAAAAGTCCACTGCTTAATATAGATCTTACCCAAAGATTTCATCTTAGAATAGAATAAAATAGTTTGGAAAATCCAAAAGTGCACGCCTCATGAGTGTTTCATTTAATTTTGATGAAAAAAATTACCAAAATAAATCGATTATACAAAGTATAAAATCGATATAGGCTGTATGGTACATTCCTTTGTCTATCAAGGGCTAAAAATTAATATGAAAACGCCTGAAAATTTTTAATCACAATAAAACTTATAAAAGTTGAAAATCATTTTAATAACAAACTAGGCGTACTATACTATTGATATGAATTAGGGAACCAGTTGATAAATAATTTTGAAGCTAATAGAAAAAAAAACATCCGGATGTCCACAATTTTTTTTGAAGTGGCAATATAAAATGATTTTTTAGAAAATATTAGATAGATTAATTAGTGTTTTCTTGATATAAGGCTACTCATATAATCGTATGTATGGCAGTATGGTTATGATAGAGGCATTTTAAGAACACAAAATTGCTTGACCTTGACCTTGACGTGTCGAGAGTAATGCACTAACTAATAACGCTTCGTGTTATGTGGGGCGTGCAATATTTTTTATTCAATATCAAGAAACCCTAATAAATATAATATTTTACAATTAAGTATGAAAACATTAAAAACAGCATGGTAGCGACCACTTCGTCCCAGTCTTTATTATCAATCATACACTTTTTAGTAGTAGTATAATAACCCTCATTAAACAATTTTTACTTGATAAAAAAATATTAGGTATATTTTATACCGTGTAATGGCGATGTATGAGTATCCACTAGGTACCCCATATCGTGGGTGTCATAAGAGGCGACAGAGGGAAACCGAAGCAGAAGATAGACAGAAGCATTTATCTGATACCTTGAAATTTAAAAATAAATACCCTGTGAAGCGTAGCAGCTAGGGCAAAATCTACCTTAGAAGATCCATATGACAAGATACAATAATACTTGCATTGCAAATAAAAGCAAATTATTTATTCATAGATCTTCCTAGATACCGTGAGTTCGTATTATCAGTATCTAATAAATTCTACTTATTTTCTGCAGACGAAAAGGAAAAGTAAAACTAATCCGGGCGCTACTTTACAAACGTTCACAAATAACGCTTTCGTGGACGAAAAGAGCGAAGCAACATTTGAAAATAACGGATTTTTAAACAAACGTCCTGGCAATCCCCAAAACGATCTTCATCGCGCTCTTGACTCTATGGCAGATGAAATAAATGGCACCAAATGCAAAAATGAAAATGATAAAGGTAAAAGATGTAGTCATAAAACTAACGACGGTACTGTCGTTCATGCAATACCAGAGGAAATCAAAGGCAAAAAATTCAAAGAATTAACCGTAAAAGAACTCGAAGAACTGGGCGAAATCAACGCCTGTCAAGATCGTTTCAGATACCGATACACAGAAGACGATTATAAGAACGACGTAATAAGAAGTAATACACCTAGTATTAACATGAGATGGATTGATTGAATTTACAGTTAGTGCTAACATTAGAATTAATAAACTTATGTCTGTTTATGACTGTTAATTTTCTATTACTTTTACCAGTTGTATTAGTCGACTTGACATAAGATAATACAATTAAAAGTAATATAAAGTTTAAAATCTGAAAATAAGTCGGCAACCGTAGTTCGGCTACATTTAATAAAAAATATTTTACACCTCCAAAAAGTAGGATTGCTAATCTTATTATGGTGTAATTATACTGCATACATACTAACTTACAGGGTAGGCAGATACTACTGATACGGACTTCAATTTTTCACGATCCTGATACAGCTCTCTCGCTTCTTTTACATCCATTTAACTACGCATACATGCTAATCGGTTAATGGTGCTCTTAATTAGCACCATCTTCAATATATCGCTAATTTGGTCGATAAAATTCCTTTTGACTGCAGCATAAATTTGCTTTGCCACTCATTCCTAATTCGTTTTTTCTAACCAAAGCATTCCTTTCTTAATCCTCGTTACAGTATTGTGATGCAATCCACTGCGTAAAGATGTTGTTCCTGCGCTTAATGTCTCTTCGGTAGTGTCGTGTGTGCTGTCCCATCGCACTACGAGAGTGAAAAAATAAAGAATGTACCTGTGCTTGCGCACACCACTCGTGCAATATAATTCTGTCTGGAGGACATTAATATTATTATTATTATGCAACCCATATTTTCCTCCTATCACACAATTGTTCATCGTATCATTCAGAAGCATACTTAACACACTTCTTGATGATCGAATTTTATACAGCTTTTTCTACCATACAGCGTTATGGAACATACTTACAGATTTAATCAAATGTAATAATATTTATTTATTAAGTAGTAAGTTTTATAGAAAGTTATTAATGGTTTTCTTTTTGAAATAGTCAGGATTCTAGTGAAACCCTATTAATAGAATTGTAATCACTAGTATCACTGGACAACGGGTAAATATAATGACTCGTGAGCCCGTTTTTGGGTTGATCCACCAGGGTTTTTTTTTATTGGAGAGGGGGCAAACGAGCATGCGGCTCACCTGATGGTAAGTGACTACCGCCGCCCATGAACAGCTGCAACACCAGGGAGAGAATCGCAGATGCGTTGCCGGCCTTTTAAAAAAGAGTACGCTCTTTTCTTGAAGGTCCCTAAGGCGTATCGGTCCGGAAAAATCGCTGATGGTAATCGATTTCACAAGGAAGTCGTGCGAGGAAGAAAACATCTTCTAAATCGCACAGTGGTGGACCACCAATCATCCAGATGGTGTGGATGGTATCGGGAGTTCTGCCGCAATGTGCGTTCGTGAAATTTGGCGGCTGGGATTAATCCGAACAATTCCTCAGAGCACTCCCCGTGGTAGATGCGAAAGAAAATGCAAAGGGATGCAACATCTCTTCGCAGTGCCAATGAATCGAGCCGATCGGAAAGGACTAGGTCGTCGACGATTCGAGCCGCTCTGCGCTGGATGCGGTCAAGTGGAAGGAGATGGCACTTAAAAGACAAAACGTTTAGAAATATATTACGCAATTTATTTCACACAAGTTGAACAATGTAACAAAAAGAAATATGCAGTGAAGTGTTAAGAATAAATATTTAAGATTTTTTTATAAATAATGTTTATTTTATTACTTCATCGTGTTATGTATATTCTACATCATCTTGTAATCAAGATCGAGAGGTATCCTTGGGTCAGTATGTGTTTGAGAAACATTTGCTATCTTATCCTTATCTTTTACTCTATCTCCTGGACTTGAATTAATTAGCCCTTCAAAGTCTTAATCGTAATCGTTGACTATCGCTTACTTACACTTACAAATTAAATATGTAGTCATTATCTATACACCCGCCTTTTTCTATTGCCATTTAGTGAAAAGGGAGAGAGTAATTTAAGCATTTAAAATGACATCGACTTTTATGAGTAAGGTCGTCAATATTAGGAAACCGTTCTGTCTTTACGTAACATTGGAGAAAATGTTCTTTTTCATTAATTTTTACTTCTTGTTACAATTTTAAGTGTGGTAAAAATCAGTGACAGGGAATAACAACGTTTTTTTTAATGTACCACTTTTTCATACTATTACATTGGCATCTGATTCTAAGCTATGTTCAAAATTTCAAGTCTCTAGCTTTCGACCCGAAATGACATATGTACGAAAACGAGTTAATAAAAATGTGGGAAAATAACAAGTTGGAGGAAGTTTTATTTTATTTTATTTGTTTTTTTTTAATCATCTACTTATAGTGATAAAGGGGGTTCAATCGTCACATATTGCCAGCATAGATTACTACACTTTACTACTTTACTTAATATTGTACTTTAGTCATTTTTTTTTTTAATTTAAAACAAATATATAAAGAAAATAAAGATTAAAATTGATTAACTGACAATTTAAGAGAATTCACCATAAAATATATACCGTAAAATGGAGTGAATAGACACAACTTTCAAGTTCTACACTGTTTTACTTACATATATTGTATATAAGCTGATAATAAAACACTTTTATGTTCTGAGTCTTGTTGTAGTTTAGCGAGTACTAATGCTTCAAACGAGTAAAAACATGCAAATTCGTTGTATTTTAGAAAAAAGTAGTCTGTTTCTATATACCGGGAATCCGGGGTTAATAGAGAAAAAATGCCAGGGTTGTCAAATTTACTTTTGTAGTATGTAGATTGTGACCTTGTGAGTCAAATGAAAGAAAACATAACTACATCAAAATTGTCATTATAAAAAAAATAATTAGTTAATAAATCTGATATTTATACAATTCCATATTGTATAAATTAAAAATATCAGAGTAATGTAATTTAACTGCTTTGCACATAAAGCCATTAGATAAATAAGCCACTACTTACATAGTTTTGAACATATTTTTTAAGTAATGACAATAAAAATAAAAAAAGTAAATGTCTTTAATGTGGTTGTGTTAATGTGTTGTGTTTACCTTTAATGTTTTTTTTTAATTTTAGTTTCAATTAGCTACTTAAATTAATTTATGTAGAAGTAAATGGTGCAAATAGTTTTTCACAACCCTAAAAATCATGTTTCTATTAACCCCTTTTACGTTTCTAATAACCCCTCATACGTATCTATTCACCCCTTTCTTCGTTTCTATTAACCCCAAAGGAGTTTTTATTCACCCCTGAGTCACATCTATTCACCTCGAATTCGAGAAAAAATACCAGTATCCTGATTTTACTATTTAAAATAATAAAATCGTTCAATATTGATATTCTAATTTGTATTAATAATAGATGACAAACTCGACTCCCTAAAAAAAAATTGCAACAAGGAAACACTGAAGAACTTGATATTTAACTTAAAGTTTTACATAGCATAAAACCACTTGTACTCACACGTTTATAATAACCGCCCTTTTTTTTACTGTCATCAAAATTGACAATAATTTAAAGGTTACCAAAATAAATCGAAAGTGTTGGCAAATAATAAACAGTAGTAATAAACAGACGTTCCCGAGCTATAGAAAAACCTAGAGACAACTTTATCAAATAACCAAACTTGTGTCTATTCACCCCGCGATTTCTATTCACCCCATTTTACGGTAAGGCAACTATGTATTAGTTTAGACAACAGAATTATTGAACCAATGATTGATTTCTGTGGGAAGAGCCTTGAAGGTTTTAACTGCTTCTTTTAGATCCTCGTCGGGAACTGCCAAAGTATAAAGTTTATATTCCTTTTGAACCCTGCTCGTTGTGGTATCCCCGGTACTGTAAATAGAGTCTGTAGTCCTTACTGGCATTATTATTTCCAACTCTTGCAAATGTTCGAATGCTTTCAAGATAACTGGTCGAGGTACTGTTTGTGTCGATGAGTTTGCGTTAGCAAATTTTGTATACCTACGAAAAAAGATTCCTTTAAATTTGTAATAGATTAGAATAAAAGGACATTTTTTTCGCATAAATGTTACAAGCATTTACCTAAATTTTATGTTACTAAATATTTGCCGTGTAGTGACGGTTTAAGGGAATTTATTATTCCATATCATCCCGTGAGTATCGTAAAAGCCGTGTAAGAAAGGGAAATTGAAACAGATTGGCAGTAGCATCATCCTGATAACAACTTAATGATAATAAAAATAAACCTACAGCTGTCAAATGGCCTGCAAAGCGTCGCAACTATGCCAAATAACCATTCATCTATGGGGATGCCGAATGATAGACAAATTAAATTATTCAATAATTGCATAGAAAGATAAGGGAAATAGATAAATCAAATTTACAAAAATCTATTTTGTCAGTTATTAATCATATTCGGACCCGTGCGAATTTCAGAATACTATTGTGAAGGGTGTAACTGTAATAATGATAATGATGATGATGATTGAGGTGGCGCTGTCGTCGCGCCAAAAGCGAAACGAACCGAAGCCTAAATCACGCTTTCGCAGTTCCGAATTATTCCAGGTATATAGATTTTTCTTCTTCTAGAATAAGGGTGTCAAACGGGCACACAGTCCACTTGATGGTAAGTGGATGCAGTGGCCCATAGACATCTACATCCTTTCTCGATTAAGAATCATAGTGCAGATGCGTTGCCACCCTTGAGGACTAAGATAGAATGTCTCGTTTCCAGTAGAAAAGGTCTTCGGTTCTCTACACTCACCATACCAAACACAGCAGAATTGAGCGGCTATTTTATGCTGGTATTCTGTGAGAGCGTGGTCCTTCCCCGGTCGAGCCAACCCATTCGTGCTACAACCATATATAGCTGCAGCATGACTCTACTACGTATATAATAGCTTCATACCATCCACAGAGCGTTGGCCTGTGATACCCGGGCTAAACAGTTTGCCCGGCGGGAGAACTCCCTTTGCCTTTCATGGCCAAATTATCGAAAGGTAATTGCCAGCTGTACAAAATAGTCATAGTATGGTATGTGTTCACGCAACCACAAAAGCGCGAACGCTTTTTGGTAAGATTGAAGAAAGGCTAAATTACTGTGTCAATTAAATAGGAGCAATTACATTACACCCCGAACAAAATTTTTTTTTTTTTCTATTAATAAATACTTTTTATTTACCTGGGAACCTGGCAATAGCCAGGATTTACAAGAAGTTTAAAGAATAAATATTATTATTCTCACCGATGTAACACCATTTCAAAATTCATTGGCTGCCCATCAAATATCTCCATGCCGTGCTTCATAGCTATGACCAGAGACAACTCTAGTATAGACAAGGATTGTATCAATTTCACTCTATGCTCCGGCGCAACAGTATTATCAACAATTGTTTGGAAATCAGTCGCTTCTATGTATGGTTTTGTTGGACATAACTGTGACACAACCTGATACTAAAAGATAAAACTTTTACCAATAATAAATTCTTAATTACTAATAATACTTATATAGAAAAACTCTGTTAAATTATTTTTTCATAAGAACTTATTACAAAATTTCTAAAAAACAAATTCTTATCAGATAAATAAATTATCTTGTTGTAAGTAAATTATTTATGACTAGCGATCCGCCCCGACTTCGCCTGGATAGGATCTATTAATGTCAATTTTTGCGGATAAAATATAGCCTAGATCCCTCCTGGCGTTGCTCTTTATCTGTTGATAAAATTAATCACAATCGTTTCAGTCATTCCGAAAATTAGCCCGGACAGACAGACAGACAGACAAAAATATTAAAAATGGTTATTTATGCATTAGCATGCAATAGCTTGAGAATAGCCCTGGGCTTAATAGAAGCCAGTTATTTCAATATTACAGACAAACACTTCGATTTTATTTATAACTAGCCGTGCCCGCGGCGTAGCTCGCGTATATAGGTTTTACTTAGAGAATTTGACATTCAGGTAAGAGAATATTAAACGATTTATATCATTACTGTATCAATAAGTGATAACGTCAGTGTAATAGACGACTCTGGCTAATGCGTATATATACACTAAGTGCTCCGTCTCTATTTTCGCATACATGTCCACTATAAATTGATTAAACAACCCCCGAAATCGTTGCAGATACGCAAGGCGATTATGCCTTACATGTAACAGGTGCGAATAAAATTGCAGAGCAGATATTTTTTTATTAATATTGGTCTCTCTGGTATTAGGATTAACTTGGTAAATTCCGAAATTGTACCCATTTTCACCGTGACAATATATTAATGTATATTGTAGAGCATCATAATATCGATGCGTTTCATAAATCCCTGGCAATCGATCGTCATGTGTGTGCAACACGACGTCACGTCTATCGCACTCCTGGTCAACTAATACCACTGCCACTTCATCAGTGACAGGAACGTTGCTACCGCGGTGTTCAGTAACAGGACGTCTGTCAGCGTTAATAACTATTTTATAATTGTTTATTAAATCTTGACGGATCGATTGCAATGCAACCCTAAAACTATGAACGTATGGATTTATTTCATGTAGCATCCTTTGAAGTTGGGATATGAGTTCGCTATTGAGTTGTGGGAAGTTGTGTTTTCGGATATTAGTCTGTTCATTATAATCTGATACAAAATAAATTGACTATTTTACTTAATGTCTATAAAGATTTAGTAGAATTCTAAATTCTAACAGTAATGAGAAAACCAAAGAGTATAATATAATCACTACGCTCAAACAATAACATTTGAAATGACACTCCTTTCTTTATAACTCATAATAAACTCATAATTATATAATTTGATTTAATTTATTAAGTTGAAATTGAAATTGAAAATATATAATATCTACATTGGTTCTGGGTAATGTATGGTTATTTTGTTTTAGTGAGACTGTAACTGCACTACAGTTAGTCTCACTACGATTCGGGGTATCTTAACGCCGCAATTCAAAAAAGAATGTATTTTGTACAACGCCATCTATTACGTTCTTTGTGAGAAAACTTTTTTAATTTAAGGAAAACATCTTTTTTACTGTTTACTGTGTTTTAAGTATAAATATATTATTATAGAACGTTTTTTTTACACACAAATCTTTCTATTACTTTTTCTGAGATTTTATGGCACCATTGAACAAATTCGAACCTACATTTCAAACTAATAATCATAACTTTCGATAGAATTAACCAATTATAATAAAACAAAAATTAAATGTAACTTGAAGATACGCTTTATGATTTTCATAACGATTTCTTTAAAAAAAAAAGATGTTTACTTTAGATGGGATGCGTTTATAAACAAACAGACAGACAGAGAGACAATTCTAAAAATTATAATAATGTGCTTATTTAATTATTTTCATTTCCCTATAATGATTTTAGTGACAAATATTCTATACAATGTACAAAAACAGACACAACATGTTATCACCATTTTTATTATAAGTATATATTTAAAGAGAGATAGCGCTGCTAACAGCAATCAATTCTTAAAATAAAAGAGATTAATACATTAATGGTACATTATTATATATATATATATATATATATATAAGACATAAAAGAACTTATAAACCAGTGTCTGCATAGTAAGCAAAACGCCTTTCTATGTTACATTTGCACCATACCGCTATCGATGACATTGGTTAACTATTTCACTTTAGATTTAGTTAATAAGGTTATAATATATTTTTGTATATTTTATTTAATACGTTCTTTAATACTTTTGTTTACTGCGTTTTAGATATAACTATATCATTATAGAACATTATTTTACCTAATTTAATTATGATTTATGATATGGTATTAGTTTAAAAGGCACTTGATGACTCAACCATCGCCACCGTTGAACAAATTCGTACCTATACTTCGTATTCATACTTCAGAATATTTATCATAACTTTTGATTGAATGAACTGATTTTAATGAAATAAAGACTAAATGTAACACGAAGATACACTTTATATTTTCCTTAATGATTCTTATGATATAAATTAGTACTTTATACGTGATACGTTAACAAACAAACAGACAGACAGACAGACAGACAGACAGACAGACAGAAAATTCTAAAAATGGTAGAAATGTATTTAGTTACTTATTTTTAGTACCTCTCAATCACTTTTATTACAAAAATATAAAATGTACAGACGTCCGCTTTTTACATTTTTATTATATGTATAGATATGGATGTAAGTATTTGACTTACTGTAATAATACCATATTAAATTGTTTGCAGACTAGAGTTTGAGATCCTGGCCAATTTAATCACGGTGACACTGTCCAAATAATGAACAACTAATAAATGCGCAAATGCAATATAGCTCTACAAATACGGCGTTAACCCAATGGAGCCACACTGCAGTGCACATCTACCACTATACCTACAGAACTAATGTGTCAGCTTGGCCGGGGAAGAACCATGTTAACTTAGAATACCAGTCTGAAATAGGCAACTGCTGTGGGTCGCATGGTTAGTGACGAGAACCTCGAGACCCTTTTAGTGGTAATGAAGAATTCCATCTTAGTCCTCAGGGTTGACAACGTATCTGCATTTTGATTCTTAATTAAGAATAAATATATATCTTCTATAATATAAAAATGAATCGCTGAATGTGTTGCTAAGCGCAAATCTCGATAGCAGCTGTATCGATTTCGCTAATTCTTTTTTATAATATTCCTTGAAGTACGAAGATGGTTCTTACGGAGAGAGAAAGTTAAAAAATTGCCTGAAAAAGTCTAAACACAACACTTTTCTGTATTCCTATACAAAAGATTAGTAATAATACTTAAAAGTCATACCATAAAGTTTAAGTGTTAGTGGAAGGGTTCCGGGAAGGCAAAACAATTGAGTGACGTTAGTATCGTATAAATATTATCGTATCGTATAAATATTTGTCAATATTTATACGATGGTAACATTGCGGTACGAAGTTCGCCGGGTCAGCTAGTATACTATAAATACCACTACATAACATTAATTGGCTTCTACGGAGATACAAACTTAGGATCAGCGTGTCAACTCTTAACTGCCATAGTCGTCGGTATACTTATATATGAGTTTATTAGTAAAAATTTACAAAATACTAGTTCGCCCGGCAGACGTAGTTTTGCCGTTTTCGGTAGATGGCGTTATCAATTTCACTCTGAAATCACTCCGGACTTTATACAACGTAAATTAAAATTTATTAATAACTCAATCAAAGCGCCATCTATCGGATGAAGAATTTTTGGTTTTCTTTTTTAGCAATATAATACACATAGTATTTGTTAATAACTTGACTACAGTGTCACGCACCGGATGCTAGCAAACTAGCATAGCTAATAATCATAAACTCTACAAAACAAACATATTGTGTTATTAAACGATTATATAACGTGGTATATCAGCACTTAAAATTGCAACTATCAATTTGATGAGCCGTGGTAGTTCAGGGGTTAGTGCTTGTTGTAAATTTCACACTATACGAGTTACCCGATTTTTTTTATATTGTAACAACTTGACTGACAAGCTACCAGTCAGTAAGCGGCTACACTATGTGTACTTGCACCCAACTTCAAACAAATAAAAATTCAGATGAGTTATTACATTTAAGGTCTAAGATGAAATGCTTCACAATCTCGTATATTGAATATCTACAATTGTCAAACTAGAACACAATAGTGTACGCCAGACCTAAAAGTTGCCACCTAGTTAATCTTAAAAAAGTCAATTCATCATCAATATCAATCCGCCATCAATTCATTCATAAACTATGTACCTACTGTTTAACTACAATTTTTTTATCTACTAACCAAGACATTCCTAAATATTTGTTCATTCACTGTATAATAACATAACTTTTCCAGTGTGTCTATAACTCGTTGGTCTTCCACTAAGCTTTTGATATGAGAGTTCCAATCCTCAAGGAAGTTTGGATCCAATTCTTGGAACTGTTGGATATTTGTTCTACATTTAGCCAACACTTCGGTTGGTACTGCATATTGTATAGTTTCGTCGTTTATGTCTACGTCCATTTCTTCTACATTTGCTGCAAATAGTTATATGTTATTAATTAAGCCTATATGTTTCTCAACAACGCGCAAACCTTCCTCTCCTCTGATTTTTAAGAGGCAAATTAAACAAAAAAAAACAGTCTGCCTGCGCTTTCCAGTATAGGGACAGCCTTTACCAGAAATCCTGGGTAGCCAGGGGTGAGTGCAGAGCCGATACCCTCGCACTGATAATGCTATTCCCATAATGGTGGTCAGGTTTCAACATTTTGGAGACTCAAACTTCGTAATGAGAATATCTACAGTAGAATCAGAGTAACGGGCATAGCCCAATGGATCAGTAAGCTGAAGTGGTAATAGGCCCGTCATATAGCTAGACGAACCGACAGCCGATAGTGAAGAAAGGTTCCCGAATGGCAGCTTCATAGTGGATTTGTGACGGGTTGTGATGATGATGCTATATTTAATTTTTTTAATTTAGAATATAAATAGTTTTTCACTAGTAAAACTTACAAGTAATATGAATGTCATCTATTAAATATCCTCAATACTTTAACAGTTTGATGAAGATGAAAAAATAGTGGTTGTTTGGAGTTGAAGCAGAGTCGCTTGCAAATTATAAACACAATCGAATCGAAACTAAATCAGGAAGGATATCAGTAATCATCCAAAATTAAAAGAAAAGGCCGTATGTATGGCCTAATTTCGTATCGCGTTATAAATTATTTCTTCATTTGTTGCAAAGTTTACATTACCAAACCTTACCTATTGATTTTCTGCGACCTCCCTTTCTCCTCCTTGGCGTGTCTTTGTTTATTACACTCTTATTTGCAATACTCAAAGGCATACTGAGCAACTGAAGTAGTCGTTCTTGTAAAGCCGTTAACGGCGTTTTTATATTGTCACTACCCGATTCAATATTTTCATTTGGAAATACGAAAATGTGTCGATGAGAGAAGCGGGATTTGACCCGTTTTTCTAACATCTCCATTACATCTAAACGATTAGTTACACCTGTAAAAGCAAATATGACGATATTTATTAAAATTCTTATAACAAAATTTGATACTCACAATAAATTGAAATACTGTTTAAGAATTGTGAGAATAAACCTTTTCTGGCTGTGTATATGAATAGTGTAATTACGTTTTATTTATTGAATTTCACCAATTCAAGGTGCTACAAAAAGTAGCAAATTCAAATCATACGAGTATGATGCAAAAGTAGAACTTTTAATTTATTTTTATTTACAGTACAGCCTATATACGTCCCACAGCTGGGCACAAGGCGCCTCTCATTCCTGAGGGTTATGCTCCACTGCGTGTTGACAAACCACCTTTAATCGAAATATTTTCATTCCTCTGGCATGCAGTTCCTCACGATGTTTTCCTTCATCGCCGAGCACGTGATAAATCAGAACTTAAAATTTCAATTAACAATTTAATCGGTGCCGGTTGGGGCTTGAACTTGCTATGTTGTAACAGATAACTTCCTGTTTTTTAATTTAAATTAATAATCCCCCCCCCCCCCCCCCCTCTCCACACAAACAACATAATTTTCTCCAGAATTATGGTTGCGTTTAGATTCATAAATTCTATAAGCACAAACAGCCTGATGCGGAACAATTGTTAATACGGCATTCATATACATGAACTATGCTGGAATTGAACCTGCGGCCCGTTGTATCATAGCCAAACGCTTAGTCACTGTACAATCGAACTTTCGAATAACAATAATAATATTGAAGTATAAACACTACGCTGCATAGCAAGCCGCCTCAGCGCTCACAACCAAGCAAATGTAACGTGTGAACTATTGCAGTGTTTGAGTAGGGGTTTTAAGAATGTAACTTTAAAATATTTACTTTGAAAATTTACATTTTTACTGATCTCTATGAGTACCAGACAATAAGATTAAAGAGGTCAGAGCCATAAAAACAAATAACATATATCCAGACCCGTAAACCTAATAATTCATGTGGTTTTACGAACTAAAAATTTGATCTGCTCAAAGTTCAAAAACTTTATTAAACAAAGTTTGTATAAAAAGGCCTATTATAATATTAAGGAATTTATGGATGATTATAACCCCTGGGAATGAGGTGATCGCTACCAAGGTATTTCTAATTTGTTTTGTGTGGTTAATTGTGTAACATACATTATTGTAAGCCGTTATTTAAAAAAAAGTCCCGCTGGGTTTCTTGCTGGTTCTTTCCAGGACAGAGGTTTTTTTCAAACCAGTGGTTGGTAATTAATTAAACAAGAGTGACTTTCAATAAGTATTATTAATAATCTATATTGAATAAAAAAGTTTCTGTATCTGTAAGCGCTGACTGAGATTGAATACAGGAAAAGCAATTTAAATACTTTGGTCACCATGACAAGTTGTCATCGAGAATAAAAGTATGAGAAGACAGGGATATGTGATAGATTCTCGCAACTATATTAACTTACCTAGCACACACATAGGGGCCTGTTTATTGTGAGTGATGTCGAACAAATTGTACAATAACGTCTGTGTCCTTCCACTGTGACAGAACAGATCGAACTCCTCCAAAATGAATACCATACTCTTGCAACTGCGGTCGACACCGCTTTGCAAACAGCTTAGTAAGAAGCTAAGATTCTCAGCAAACGTTCCGAAAACACGGTCACCTACAGCATTTTCTAGCTGCATCTGTGGATTTAATTAATCCTTATACTTATAATATTGTAAATGTAAATGTTTACCAGTTTAGATGTTTGACATTCTAATCAAGCCCAAACGGCTGAAGAGATTTTAATGGAATTTGAAAATAATATTCATTTATTTCAAATCATAAGTTGTATTTATCATGTAAAAGTACTTTTATAATGCTATAAAGTTCAGAATCGATACCTTTTTTATAGAATAAGGGAGACAAACGACCACACAGTCCACCTGATGGTAAGGGGTTGCTATGGCCCATAGACATCTACATCTATCCTCGTTTGCGAATCACAATGCAGATGGGTTGTCACCCGTGTGGACTAAGATGGAATGCATCTTTTCCAGTAAATAGGGTCTCCGGTTCTCTACACTCACCATACGAAACACAGCAGTGTTAAGCTGCTATTTTACGCTGGTATTCTGTGAGAGCGTGGTCCTACCCCGGTCGAGCCGACCCACTCGTGCTACAACTATACTACTAATATAGCTGAAGCATGACTCTATCGCTACTACAAAGATCTCATAGCGGTATAACCATCTTGTTTACGTTAGTCGTATAATTCACAAACAGACGACAAAGAGCAGTATTAAAGGTGCGAGATTTCTGGTGAAGTAACTGGCGATTTTTTACGTTTTTTCTGCCGTCTTCCAAAAAGGAGACGGTACTCAATTCGACTGTATATTTTTTTATGTGTGTTACCTCATAACTTTTTACTGGGTGAACCGATTTCGATGATTCTTTTTTTATTTGGAAGCTGGTACTTCTCGTGTGGTCCCATATGAATTTGATCAAGGTCAGACTAATAGTTTTTGAGTTATTCTTAATAACTTATATTGAAGTCGGCTATACAAAAATTTTTATTTTAAATTATTTGGGGGAGTCACTATTCAAACAGAGTATTTTTAATGAGAGACGCGTAAAAATAGCCACAACGATCACAAATTACAATAAATTATTTCAACGTCCATTTCATAAACAACATATTCGGGACTAACGTAAACAAAACAACATTTTTGGTAATATTGATTCAAGTAAAAATGTATACATAAAAAGACAACAAAGAAGGTTTAGAATAACAGGACAATGGAGTCGCTCTTATTTACTAATAGGCTAGTGCTTGATCACTATCCCACTTAAAGGTAAGTGGTAATGTAGCTGAAGATGGTAAAATGCACTGACTTAGCTTAACTTTTTTAAAGAATAAGGGTGTCAAACGAGCACACAGTCCACCTGATGGTAAGTGGATGCTATAGCCCATAGATATACACCACATTTATCCTCGATTAAGAATCTAAATGCAGATGCGCTGTCACCCCTGAGTACTAAGATGGAATGCCTCGCTTCCAGTAAAAAGGGTCTCTGGTTCTCTACACTCACCATACGAAACACAGAAGTATTAGGTCCTTACATATGAAATTAGCGTTTTGTCGTACTGACCACTTTGATCTGAAATATATCCTATTGGGTTAAGATTCCAAATTCAAATTTATAAATTCATTTAGCTGGTACATTTGAGTTTTGAAAACAGTCATTCATTTGTTTTTTCCTCATTATTTTTTTCTTTGGCGTCACTTATTACCGCACAATGGAAAACATGAAATATCGGTATATTTACGAGTGCGAGTTCTACCGTGGCACCAGTGCTGCAGAAACAGCACGAAGGATTAATGATGTGTACGGCGCTGGTGTCGTAAAAGAAAGCACGGCACGTTTTTGGTTTCAACGTTTTCGTTCTGAAAATTTCGACCTTCAGAACCAACCCCGTGGACGGCCGGAGACCAAAGTGGAAAATGAAGAATTAAAGGCATTGTGGAAGCCGATCCATCACAAAGCACTTCAGAGATAGCTGCAGGCTTCGGGGTAAGTGATAAAACTGTATTAATCCACTTGAAGCAAATCGGGAAAGTAAAAAAACTTGAACGATGGGTACCTCATGAATTGAGTGAATCGAACTTGCAAACACGCGTTGACTGATGTGTTACTTTGCTCAACCGACATAATAATGAAGGAATTTTAAATCGAATCATTACTTGTGATGAAAGGTGGATACTGTACGATAATCGGAAGCGCTCGTTGCAATGGCAGAACCCTGGTGGCCCAGCCAAATCCTGCCGGCCGGTGTCGTTCACTACAGCTTTCTAAAATCTGGCCAAACGATTACGGCAGATATTTATTGTCAGCAACAGCAAACCATGAAGGAAGAACTAGCTGCTAAACAACCGAGATTGGTCAATCGCTCTAGGCCACTAATGTTCACGACAACGCAAGACCACACACTTCACAACAAACAATCACTAAGTTAGATGAGCTACAATTGCAAGGTACTCCCCGGACCTTGCTCCAACAGATTACCATTTTTTCCAGAATTTGAACAACTTATTACAAGGAAAAAAATTTAATTCCGATGCGGCAGTCCAAACCGCCTTCAAAGAGTTTATTCATTCTCGCCCCCATGGTTTTTTTTTTAGTAAAGGGATCAATGAACTACTGTACGTACTATGAGATGGCAAAAGTGCATAGATAACAACGGTGCATACTTTGATCGACTAAATATATTTTACAAAAAAAATTGACTTTATATTCCTCCCGTACAAAACGCCAATTTTATATGTAAGGACCTAATATTAAGCTGCTATTTTACGCTGGTATTCTGTGAGAGCATGGTCCCAACCATTTGTGCTACAACCATAATATAGCTGCAGCGTGACTCTACACATATAAAAACATAAAACTATTCACTCTTTTCTAACTTCTTTTCTTCTAGGCAACCACATTGTAATCAGGTTTAAAATTAGATGCTAGCAAATTATTCCACTCCTGTGCTACGAAGCGAACCGTTTGGTTCGAATGCATGGTATGTCGACAACAAAAAGGTATCCTATTGAAAAAATGTAATGCTATTCAATACTGAAAGTCTTGCTGCTTTGCTTATTTTAACCATAAATATTTTCTACTTCGTTATCAGCTTTATGACGATAAACGATGAAAATAATAATTATTTTATTTTTTCGTCCATACATCTTTACATATAAATAAAATTGTAGTACCTATCTGTCTGTAAAATCGATATAACTGCCTTCGATTAAGTTCGGGGCTTTTTTGTCCGTCTGTCTATCACCAATGTTGATGAAACTTCATAAACATACAGAGAACAATGCCAGGAGTTATGTAAGCTATATTTAATCCAAAAACCTTGCAGAATTTTGTGAAATATAAAAAAATTGTGGTTTTTAATAATTATCTCATAAAATATATGAGATGTAAAAAGCTTCAAAGAAAACTTTTGTTACGCAAGTTAAAACAAAATTTATATCTTCAAAAGGTTAAGATTTTGCAAAAAAAATGTTTAAAGTTTTGACTTCAAGAGCATTTTACAACAAAATTATAAATGTTAAAGGATAAGGTGACAAAAACGTTTTTGCATAAAATTAATAGATTTTCAGTTTATATTAAAAATAAATATTTTCCCATATTGTACATGTTTTTCAAGAGATTAGCAAAAATCTGAATTGAAAGTAGTTTTTTGATAATTAAACTACTTCTCTTACAAATCTGCAGGTTTTTAGGGTTCCGTAATTACACAACAAGGAACCCTTATAGTTTCGCTGTCTGTCCGTCCGTCCGCAGATTTGTTCAAAAACCCTAGGTGATACGAATCTGTAATTTGGCATAGCTAAATAAAAAAAAAAACATTTTTATTTCGGGTACTTCCCATACAAGTAAATGGAGGATATTTTTTTTACCCGTCTATTCCATCATGTGGGGTACCGTTGGATAAGTCTTTCAAAAACACTGGGGGTGTCGAAGAAAATCTTTTTGATTGAGGGGTCCGTATGAGAAATATTTAGCTTTAAAGTGAAATTTTTCATTAGTCATGTCCCCCCCACCTCCCTAATACCAACTAAAAGGCTGTATATGGAAATATTAAAGTATACACAATAGCTACCTATACCTACCCTACCATAGCTAAGAAGAATTAAGAGGTTAACGAGTAACAAGTTATAAAATGCATTTGGATAAGTAAAAATTTCATTACAACTCCATAGAAAATAAAACTAGCTGCATTATATCTTTGTAATGTTATTGTAAACTGTTGAAAAAAAAAACATTTTATGATGAAAACTACTTATATGCATTACTACTATTAGCTTTACTTAAGTTTTTTAATCTTTTTTGAATACCACTCTCTATATTTCTGATTTGAAAATAAGACCTTCAGTTACAATTTCCCTATTTGGGCCCATTTTTAGTCGTTATAGCGGTCAAACCGCGAACTTACTTGTTATGCTCATTATCAAGAATGTCCATTTATTGTCACGGGCAACTACGGAGCCCTACCTCTACAATGAACTGACACATACTTGGCTGCGGAGGGTAGGGAGAGCGGCGCCTCGCAATACCGACACTCCTCTCCCCCCGCAGCCACACCACCACCATATCATTAACGGTGCGGCCCCGTCTGAGTCGCGGAGGATAGGGCGAGTGGCGCATCGCCATACCAACACTCCTCTTCCTCCGCGACTCCACCTCGGCTGCAGCGGTAGGGGGAGCGGACACCCCTCTCGCCGCAGTTCACCGACACACATCCGAAGTGGGCTTCCCAAGCCCACTCGGAGTGGCCACCTCGGGCCGGCCCTACACCACGGGCCAGCCAAGGGGTTCCTCTTTGTAAATAATACACAAAATTGCGGGTTAAAGCTAGTTAATATATAAATTTGCAATACTACAAAAATACCTGAACAAATCATCATCATCATCATTACAGCCCTTCACAAGTCCACTGCTGAACATAGGCCTCCCCCAAGGATTGTCAGAAAGCACGGTCCCGAGCCACCTGCATCCATTGACTTCCTGCATGTCTTACCAGGTCGTCACTACATTTAGCGGGGGGACGCCCTACACTTCGCCTGAGGCTGCCACTCGAGAACCTTTCTTCCCCATCGGTTATCGGTTCTTCGAGCTATATGGCCGGCCTATTGCCACTTCAGCATACTAATTCATTGGGCTAAGTCGGTTATTTTGGTTCTACTGCGGATATCCTCGTTTTTAAGTCTATCAGAGTCAGAGGAGAAACCCGAGCATAGTCTTTGAGACTTTGAGCTTCCTCATACGGCCAGCAGTGAAGGACCATGTCACAGTTCCATAGGTCATCACTGGCAACACGCACTGGTTGAACAATCTAGTTTTGAGGTATGTCTAACAAGATGTGTCGTAATCTCCCGAACGCTGCCTAGCCGAGTTGAATCTGTCGACTGACCTCTCGAAGTCGAAGTTGGATTTACCTAGTCGGACTATTTGTTCCAAGTAAACATATTCGTCAACAACTTCGAGCTTAGTGCTCCCAAAAACTACCGGCATAGGTATGACATGGACGTTAAACATGATTTTTGTTTTGTCCATGTCCATCTTAAGACCTTGGAGACACTATTGAGGTCATTGAGCATAGTGCTTAGGTCCTCCAGCGATTCTGCCACATGGACTATATCGTCGGCAAATCGAAGGTGAGTGATGTACTCGCCATTGACGTTAATACCGTATCCTTTCCAGTCCAGTACCTTGAAAATGTCTTCCAATGCAGCGGTGAAAAGTTTCGGGGATATTACGTCACCCTGTCTTACACCTGTCTGCAGTTGGATAGGTTTCGTGCTCTGGTTCTGTACTCGGATAGCCATCGTAGCCCTACTGTACAAACCTCAGAGCTTCGATATACCGACAGTCAACTTAGCACCGCTGGCGGTATTGTAGCACCACCCAAATTTCGACGGAATCAAAGGCTTTCTAATAGTCCACATATGCAAGGCAAAGTAGCAGATTGTACTCTTCTGTCTTCTGTACAATTTGCCGAAGGTGTGTATATGGTCTATGGTACGAAAGCCTTTTCGGAAACCGGCTTGTTCGGGAGGCTGGAAGTCGTCGAGCCTGCATGCGAGACGATTCGTAATGACTCTCGAAAACAGCACGTAGACGCGGCTGAGAAGGGAAAACGGTCTGTAGTTTTTCAAGAGAGCGTTGTGGCCTTTCTTGAAGAACAAGACCACCGCACCATGAAGGACGGAATTAGAAAGCTTCTGAAGGACTTTAGGTACAGTTTTTCCACCCGCTTTCAGAAGCTTCGCTGTAATTCCATCCCCGCCCGGGGACTTGCCGTTTTTAAGGTGTTAGAGAGCCATTCTAATCTCGCTCAGACTAACGTCCGGGATATTATCGGAATAGTGTCGGATAAGACTTGCTTTTGGATCGTTACTCACACTTGCGTATGGCTCCAACGATGACGTGTACAGCTGCCCATAGAACCTCTCAATCTCACTCAAAATCTCAGGTGTCTCGGAAACGATGCTGCCACATTCAGTCCTCAGCTTCGACAGTTGGTACTTTCTGGCAGACAGATCTTTCGCAAAGACTTTGGAGCCCTGGTTCCGCTCGATCGCTTCTTCAATACGAGCAGTATTAAAGTTGCGTAAGTCCCGTCGCATGTAATTGGAGATCTGTCTATTCAGTTGCATATATGCTATCAAATCAACTGAAGACTGCAGCTTCATTTCCCGTCTAACAGCCATGAGATTAAGAGTGTGATCGGAGAGTTTTTGTGTTCTTCTGCGGCGGGTCTTGCAAAACTTAGCTCCGACCGCATGGACAGTTTCCACGAGCTTGTCATTTATATCGTGCACTGCATTGCAATCTTCTAGGCACTGAAATCGATTTTGTAACTCGAGCTGAAACGTTTCGGGACTTTGGATTAGAGCACGAGGGGCACGGAGCGTTGACTTCATTAGACGAGGCTTTCCAACTTGAAGTTTAGGTTCAGTGTGCCTCTAACCATTCGGTGATCGCTACCAGTTTTCACCCTCGCGTTCACTGAGACATCACTGAACAGTTGTCGTCTGGTCGACATAATGAAGTCAATCTCATTTTTTGTCGAACCGTTGGGGCTCGACCAGGTCCACTTCCTGTGGGACCGCTTCTGGAAGAAATAGTTCATCATAAAAAAACCCTCTGTCTCCATGAAGTCGGCCAGCTGCTGGCCCTTTTTGTTCCGTTGCCCTAATCCAAATTTCCCTACTTTCTGCTCACCATTCTCTCTTGTGCCTAGTTTTGCGTTAAAGTCTCCCATTAACACCGTATGGTGGGTTTTGGAGCAATGCATGGCTCTAGAGATATCCTCATACATGTATACGCTGAAGGTATTCGCGTCAGAAGGTCATACACGTAAACCTGTATGACCTTCAGCGAATACCGTTTGGTGATTCTGAATATAAGGTACGCAAGTTTCGTCGACACACTCCCAATCTTTACAACGTTATTAACGAGAGACATGTGGACGATAAATCCGACACCTCCTTGGGACAGATGCTCGCCTTCCCGGTGATAGAACAAGTCTCCGCATTCGAGGATTATCGTGTCCTCCCCCTCTCTTCGGACTTCGGATAATCCTATAATATTCCAGCGCAACTTGTCTTTCTCTTCTTCCAGCTCCAGGATCTTCTCGTCAGTCCTCAGGGTGCATGCGTTATAAGTTGCCAGGTCGAGTCGTCGTAGGTAGCAACCAAACCTCCACCTGCCGTTACCATGGTCGCCAGTAATGACTTATGGATCTGAGACATGATTCTTCAATGCGGGCAGTATGAGGAAACTCAAGGTCGCTCAGCAAGCTATGGAGAGTGCTATGCTCGGGGTTTGTCTGTGTAATAAACTTAGAAATAAGGATATCCACACTAGAACCATAGTGATTGACATAGCCCAATGGATTAGTAAGCTCAAGTGGCAATGGGCCAGCCATATAGTACAAAGAACCGACCACCGATGGGAAAAAAAGGTTCTCGAGTGGCAGCTTGGTACTGGTAGGCGAAATGTAGGGCGACCCACCGATAGATGGAGTGACGACCTGGTAAAACATGCATGAAGTTGATGGATGCAGGTGGCTCAAGATCGTGCTTTGTGGCATTCCTTGGGGGAGGCCTATGTTCAGCAGTAGACTTGTGAAGGGGAGTAATGGTGATGATGATGACATGCCATAGTTGCCACATTTGGCAGGCTACCTACTGCAATTTTTTTTATTATTTTGAGCTATTATCAGAAGCACGCTGCTACCCATTTATTTCAGGATGCATATTACCATCTGTGATGCAGTTATCCTCTGTCACCAATTACAACACCCTAGGGATGATGTGTGTGATGGTAATGGATTCTCCTATACCACCACCTGGCACTTTATTTCTGGGTCGGTGAGGATTGAACTTGGTTTGCTTTCATACTATGTTAACTATATTTAAGGTGTGTGCTTATTTCCTGAGCTTCTACAGCACCTTTTGCAATCTGCAGACTTCCCAGTGTCTAACATGTTTAACAAGATTAATTTACAGTTACAGAGTTAATCAATTGATTGATCAATTTGAGTTTAAATTGTTTAAGCAAACAAAAAGACCATGTTAATAATCCAAGATGATGTATAACATAAAGATAGATTCAAACTTGAGTTATACTGTATGAACTCTTCACTAGGAAAACTGTTTCCAAACACACACATACTGAAACTAAAGCAAGTTAAAGATCATTTACAATTTTATGTAAAGAAAATACATACCTGAGCTGTAATAGACTTCAGGGCAACCTTATCATCTTGATGAAGGAGGCCATTTAATTTAATTATCAATGAATCATTCTCTAAATCCAATTCATTAGCTAATTGGTGTAGAACTGAATTAAGAAGCTGGAAATATAATCATGAGTTGAATTAGGATTTGTTATAACGCAGTTTATGGTCCATACTTGAAAGCTAGTATAAACATAGATAAGTATATTTATTTTATAATGTAATGTTATCTAGAGTGGATTTCCATCACATTGGCCAGTCTCAATATAGGCTAGTCATCTGCGCAAGACAGGATTATAGTCTATGGGCGAGCACAAGTACACTTTTATATACAACACAACTGGAAAGAGTAGTAGGTGCAGAACCAATATGCTATTGAGACATGGGGGTAAAACACAACCAACTTCTTGACTTTAGGCTACTAGTGAAAAAGTTTTGAGAGAAAACCACAGAACTAATTTTGGCCTGAAATCCCTAATTCGAATCAGAATTCGCCCTTAAGACCGCTAGTCGCTAAAGACAATAATTTGATTTAAAAAAGGCTAGTATCCTATGGAATAAAAACAATTTATAAAATTAAACACTTAATGACAAATAACTAGCCAATGACCAACTAACCGAGTTGAGTTATGAAACCCATTTAAAATTCAGTTATATTTCGGTAAAGTCAGTTATATTTTGAAGACTACATATACATTTAAAGCTTAAATTTTTTGGGGTTAATGCATATTATTGAAATACTCCGTAAACACAGTTTAAATGGACTTCATGATTCATCATTACAGCCTTTCATAAGTCCACTGCTGAACATAGGCCCCATCCCTCAAGGAATGCCACAAAGCACGGTCCTGAGCCACCTGCATCCATCAACTTTCTGCATGTCTTACCAGGTCGTCACTCCATCTCATGGGGGATCGCCCTACACTTTGCCTACCGGTACGAGGCTGCCACTCAAGAACCTTTCTTCCCCATTGGTTGTCGGTTCTTCGAGCTATATGGCCGGCCCACTGCCACTTCAGCTTACTAATCCGTTGGACTATGTCGGTCACTCTGGTTCTACTGCGGATATCCTCATTTCTAAGTTTATCACGCAGAGAAACTCCGAGCATAGCCCTCTCCATAGCTCGCTGAGCGACCTTGAGCTTCCTCATACAGCCAGCAGTGAAGTTAGATTGGTTAAATGGACTTAATTAATCCTTAAATTTTGAGACAAGCTCATATTCAGCAATAGACAAGTACGAGCAGATGAGGAAACTTTACGTTACATTGTTATAAGTTTTAGAAGTAATAAAAACTTTTTGTCCGTTATTATTTATGAATGTCAGAACCATTAATTTTGTTTTAGTAAGTATATTTTCACACACAGATGTTTTACCGCAACCTCTTGGTCCAATAATAAGAGCTGAATGAGATTCTCCATCAGATACCACTCGCTTTATCAAATCGTAAACATGACTTCGTTCCTGCGCGTGTTCCTTAAAACTCACATTATCTTCTAAAATTTTTATCTTTAAATATGTTCTAATTAATTTTATTTGTGTAGAAAGTGTATTCTTCATTTTTTTACGCAAACAAAATGTAAAAGAAAACAAAACTGATTTTTGCTTTCCCGCGCTCAATCACTCAATGGGCTCAAGCTCAATTTTATGCATAACGCGTAGTGTTTCTATATAGTTTGTGATTTTATGTCCACAGAATACTTTACTCCTAGTTTATGTCAGTCTTTTTTTGGAGTTTATGGCCTGGTATCATTGTTATAAGAATAATTTATCTATTTTTCTTATATCAATGCCTGGTATCTAGACCTTTATGTCAGTCAATGTCAAGTCAGGGTTGCCAACTTTATACTGGGTGGCGATTAGGTTATCACATTAAATAACAACAGTAAATACGAGTTCATATACCTATGTCTGTTAAAATTTTAAAATAAAGAATTCTACTAAAAATAAAAAAGCATCTGTCAAAGAAAATAAATAGCGTCGAAATTGACACGAAATAAATCACCTTGATAATATTAGTTTACTAACCTGAAGTGATCTGTAAAAGCGGCAACGGTGCGGCAGGTATGCAGTGCTCACGCGGCATCGACATAGGTCATTATTTACCAACACTTTCCCATTCATAGGTTATTACGCAAAAAACGAAAAAAGGGCTACCGCGACTAGAGTGTTAGTTGTCATATATTTTTTTAGCTGTGTATGTTCAAAGAACGTTATGTAGGATAAGTCTTTTCATTTAATGTGATAACTTTATCGCCATAACGTATTTTAGGAGATCGTACCATAAGCTGGAAACAGTATTTTGCTAAGAACTCAAAAAAAAAATGGTAGCATTAAAATTTCAATAAAACAGTGGTAAAAAATACAAAAATAATATTATTATAACGTCAAAGCAAAATTTAACATTTAGGGTTGTCTAGGCAGGAAAATTTGCAATAAAAACGCAGTATTTAACGCGCGCTTTTGGCCTCGATATCAAGGGCACCTTCCCTCTCCCCCGCCCCCTCGGCCGCCGGACAGGTCGGCGTGGCTCTTCTCGCTAGGTAGTAGGATTTTTCTTGCGAACTATACGGACGTATTTTTTCGCGCCTAAACTTGCTAAAGGAACAATCCGCGTAAATCGTTGCAATAACGGTATCGTTATTAGAACGTACTAACTCGGTGAAATTCGCGCGCAACTATCAAAGTGATTTACATCTGAAGGACTACCAGAGTAGCCGTCCCATTTGGTGACAACCCCTTACGAGTGCCTCCAGAAGGGTGAAGTTCCGGGGATACCAGCGCGTGCCTTCTCCCGGACGTCGTCGAGTCATCCAGATCGGTTCCCGTCAACATACCAGCACACATAATTACACCTACACTCACAACACCGCACACACCAAGCACAACTTTCATCAGCCGGGCCGGTCGAGGAGAACCGTCTGCGCTCCTGGGGCAGGTAAGTGCATTTATTCTAGTGACCTTTCCCCTCGTGTGTTCATTAGAAACCTTGGACCCTCGGCGTAGGAACGCCCGACCTGCATCTGCCCGTGGCTCCTTCGTCTATGGGCCGCGAAGGATCCAACTCCTGTTGAGGCAGGGCAGCTGTTGGCCGTAACATTTGGTAGCAGAACGCGGTGCTGGGATCGATTCCCGGTCGATCCACCGACCATAGTATTTGATAAAAATTAAATAATTTGGTGGCAGGAGCGTTGGGTGGATTTGTGGCTACAATCACGCCCGTCCGTAATACGTAAAATACCTTTTTATTATTATACGTAATAATAAAATTCCTTCCTTTGTTAGCTTGCTTTACTGTTAGCGGGTAAAATTGAAAGGTCACACCCGGTTCGCGCGCAAGCGGGAGATTGCGTCATGTAGGTAGATGGTTATTTTTACGTAATCGGTTAATTGTCGTTGTCGGATGGTAGTGTGTTACTTATCGAAGGGTTGATTTCCGAGCAAGGCATTTTTGTTGATGTGTATCTTCGTTACATATCTTTCGTATTGTAAATTGTATTTGAACTAAAGAGTGGTAATTTGTATTTACGTAATTTAAATGAACCTGATTTGATCGTACTAGTATTTGTTATTGTTGATTTGATTTACCTTTTCCTTTGTACTAACTTGTGTTTGATTTAATAATAGCTGTTCTTATTTGTGTACATTCTATCCAACTCGATTTGATAGGAACTGCATTAGTTAGCTGTTAATTTTTTTGTATTTTTTATTTGTTATTGTTGTAATTGTGCTCGAGCCGCGTCGTAATTTGAATTTAGTAGTGATGTCCTCGCCCAAGATGCTAATCCGTTGCCTGCGGACTGAGCTGCGCTGGGCTACCAGCGCACACGCGTTGATAGGCCGACCGGACAGGGTCTACAATCTGAGGAAGAGGCTTGAGCAGGTCGATGCTCGAAGGGCGGCCGTGGAGGAGGAAAAGGGAGTCCTGGAATCTTGCCGCGCGGACTACGAGCAGTTCCTCGCGCTGACGGACGACCTGATCGAGGCGGGGGCCAAGGATGCGGAGAGGGAGCGCGAAGCTCGGCTGAGTAGCCTTCTCGAGTCCCCGCGGAAGCCGTCTGCTCAGCCAGAGCTGCTAGGACGACTTCCGACGCTGGACCTGCCAAGGTTCTCCGGGGTCCTCTCGGAGTGGATGACCTTCGTCGGCCTGTTTGACAGCCTGGTGGACGCCCGGAGGGACCTGACCCCCTGTCAAAAAATGGGGTACCTCCTGGCTTCACTAGAGGGGGAGGCCCTGAGCGTCGTCGGCCACCTTAAGTTGTCGGACGACGCCTACCAAAACGCCAGGGACCTCCTCGCTGGAAGGTACGCCAACGTCCGGCGGATTGCGGACGATCATGTTCGGAGGCTGCTGAACCTCCCGCTGCTGAAGGACCGGACTAGACTACGTGAAGACATAGTGAATCCAGTCGTCGTAGCGTGCAACTCGTTGCGGCGGCTGGATTTACCTGTGGACGAGTGGTCTTTTCTGCTCCTTCATATAGTGCTGTCCCGCCTGCCCCTCGACCTTCGGCTCCATTTTGAGGAGAGGTTCGGAGGGGATGGCGCCTCTTATATGCCCCCCTTTAGGGACCTGCTGCGGTTCCTGAAAGAGCAGTGCAGGCTGCTGGAGAACGCAGCAGGCGCCGTCGAGGGCCCCCCGGCCTCCTCCCGAGCGGTGCCCAGGGAAAGGCGGAGTCAGCCGGCCAAGGCGGCGCCCACCCCCCTGAGGCCGAGTGGAGCCCCCGCGGGAGGGCGCCCCCCCGTACCCTCCTATAGTGGCCTAGCGGCCCGGGAGGCGCCTCCCTGCTCCTATTGTCGAGCATCCGACCACCGGCCGGCGTCGTGCCCGAAGTTGTTGCGCAAGCCGGCTAAGGCGAGGCGAACCATCGCCAGGGAGCGCCGCTGGTGCTTCTCGTGCCTGGAGAGGCATTTACAACGAGACTGCCCGCACCAGCGGCCCTGCACGCACTGCCAGGGCAACCACAACGTCCTCTTGTGCCTGGGTGCGCGCGGCTCGTCCTCGCAGGGCCCTGCCAGCCCCCCGACTCCCACGGGCGGGGGCGCCCAGCCACGCCCACTGTCGGGCGACGCTCGGCGCTCACCGGCGGACCGCAGCGCCCCTCCTTCTGAAGGGAGCCCCTCCCCCGATCGGTCGGGGAGTCGTTCCCCCAGGGGCGGGGGGGTCTTCACCCCCCCTCCCCGAGTTGATAGTGGATTCGCGGCCACTCAGCGGTCAGCTAGACCTTTCTCACCCCCGTTGGCTGAGTGGCCGCGACTGGAACGCCGCCCGCCCCCCTTTGGCCGGTGCCGGTACTACCGGGTTCCGGAGACTGCGTATCGGCCCCGAGCCTTGGAGCCGAGGATCCCCGAGTTTCCCTCGGTCGGCCCGTTCGGGGAATTCCAGTCGGGGGTCATCGAGACGCCGTCGGAGTGCCGCGCTCGGGCCCCCCGGTTCGGGTGCCGGCCTAACAGAGGCAGCTCCAGATAGGAGGCTGCCGCCCTAGCTCCCGCCATGGCCGCCTCCACTGAGCCTATAAGTCGTCAGCAGTCCACCTGTCAAACTGTTCTATTGCCGACAGCCTCAGTGAAGGTTTACAACCCGAGCGGCGACCACTTAACGGTTCGAGCTCTATTGGACTCGGGTTCCCAGCGTAGTGTGGCCTCTACTCGGTTGGTGGGAAGACTGGGGCTCCCCTGGAGCTCTGAATCACGTCCGATGGTAGGTATCGGAGGTGCCGAGCCTCCTGCTCCTAGGGGACAATCGGAGTTGGTGTTCAGCCCTGACAGCGAACACCTTCGTATTTTAGTCAAGGTAAATGTCCTCGACGACATTGTAGGGTTCCTCCCTAACGTTCGTATAAATGACAGCGCTGTGCGCTGTGCGTCGGCTTTGAGACCGGCAGACCCTCGGTGGGCCCAACCGGGGCCGATAGATTTGTTACTGGGGGCCGACACGCTGGGTGCCCTCTTGTTAGGTGAGATACGAGCTCTGCAGCCCAATGGCCTGTCAGCCATTTCCACGATATTTGGGCACAGCTTTTTTGGACCGGTTATGTGGTCTCCTCCCTCTCCGATGGCCGACCCTCTCTCCGTCGTGGGCGTGTCCCTATCGGACGCTGTCCAGCGATTCTGGGACATTGAGGAACCACCCCATGCAGCTCGAGTCGACCCTCTGGACCGTGAGTGTGAGTTGTTCTACCAGAACAATACCGGCCGGCGGGTTGACGGTCGTTTCGTCACTCGCTTACCCTTTCTGGACTCCCGCCCCTCTTTGGGTCAATCCCGTGCTCTGGCCGAGAAGAGGTTGCTTTCCATGGAGCGCCGCATGCGGCGTGACCCAGCCTTTCGCGACAAATATGTCAAGTTCATGCGCGAGTATCAGGAGCTGGGTCACATGTCACCGTCCAACTTCGAATGGCGTTCACATGAGCACTACTTCCTCCCTCACCATGCGGTCTTGAGGACCACTGAGAGTAAGATTCGGGTAGTCTTTGACGGTTCCGCCCCCACATCAAACGGTGTGTCCCTGAATCAGTGTCTTCACTCGGGTCCTAAACTGATCAAGGACATATCCGACA